AGGACGCTGTTGTCCAGAGATTATTCACGTCGACTCATCCCCGCATAGGTAGCTGGCGAGGACTGTTGTCCAGAGATTATTTATGTCGGCCCATCCCCGCATAGGTAGCTGGCGAGGACTGTTGTCTAGAGAATATTCATGTCGACTCATTCCCGCATAGGTAGCTGGCGAGGGCTGTTTTCCAGAGATTATTTATGTCAACTCTTTCCCGCATAGGTAGCTGGCAAGGACACTGCTGTCCAAAGACAAGTTATGCTGACTCATCCCCGTAGAAACATGAGCTATATTCATGCAAGCACAGCGACGCCACAGCTAACTTTCCACGATCCTCCGCAATAGAACATAAACACAGCGACAGTGCGATACTGAGGGCACGGTTTAGACTGTGAGGTTATCATTTGTTTCAAATCCGAAGATGATCTAAAACGCCTCTAACATCTTTAAAAACGTATGTTAGAAAGAGCAGCGTATTACACCTAAGTGGGAGCCCGATTTTGCCTTGCCGTTTTGCGGCCCGATTTGCGGCTCGCTACAACGGACGGAATCGGCGGTCCGACCTCTGCACCCTGATTGTCAGGTCACCGAGGATCCGCTAGTCGGAGCTGAGTTCAGCGCCACAGGTGGTGTCATCTCGGCGTTATGGCCACGGATGGGCCGAGCCGGGCGACAAGCAGCTCATGCACTGCTGTTGCAGTCGCTCTGCGGAGCTTGGCCGAGCGGTCCAGTGAACGGCTTTGGCCCAGGGATCACAACGTCGCGTTCCTCGAAAAGCTGCCGCCGGTCAAGTTTGTTCGCGTGAGGCTGTCACATACCTTACCGTATTTTTTTTTTGTTGATTACTTATTATTATATATTTATTATATATTTATTACATTTCTTATTATTTTCCTGGCCGCCCGTGCGGGATCGGTGGCGCCAAACAGCGGACAGGTCGGCGAGGGCCAGAAGCCCGTCCCCTAACCAAAAAAGCCATTAAGCCAAGCGGAGCCTGGGAAAAGAAGCCGTCAGAACCCGCAGCCGACCGGCCTGCAACAAGAGAAGGGCACTTGCAGTCACCCACATCGCACAGCTCAGAAGCGTGACGACCGGTCAGGTGCGGCGTCATACGGACAGGGGCAGCAAAACAGCGTCCCCCTCGCGGACATCTGGGACGCCGCCGGCCGTACATTCCGAATCGGTCCGCCACGTTGAAAGGAAGCACCTGCCATCGGCTGGACAATACCAATGGACGCACGACACTCGCCCACCGGCGGGAACAACAACGTCTCCCCTCCCCCTCACCAAACTCCGCTGTGACGACGCCGATTAATCCCCAGCTGGAATCAGCGCTGCATCTCGTGGGAAGCCGGCGGGGCGGGGGGAGGGGGGGGGGGGGGCGCAGGGCCTGTCGAAGGCGGGGAGCGGAGAGAGCGGGCGGGCCTGCACGCGCTGTGGGCGCCGCGGCGCCCGAGTCGTCCCCTCAGGACGCACGAGCGTCGAGCCCGACCAACCAAAACCGTTCAGAAATACCTCCCGCAAACTCATGCCTTTCTAGTCGTCGCTGCATCGGTTGCCGGCACATGCTCGAACGTGCCGGCACTGCCCTGAAGACTTACTTTAAATGCAATGTGGATTTGAAACGATTGGGTGCCACATGGCTAACTCTTATGAGTTATAGTGCATTATATTCTGTGAGGCGAAAGTATAATGACGGTACGGTACGGATACGGAATCATACGGACGGTTCATTAAACAGCAAACATAAAACGGTCACACAGCGTGTTTTGTGCTTGATTTATTTGCTTGATTTTTGTGTGGGTTTTTCTTGAAACGCCCAACGTTCTTCTAATCTTTCATAAAATGCCTCCAAAAAGACGTCCGCGAAGAAATAGCTTACCAATATGGTCAATGTTAATCTGTCGCCAAATCGGGACATTTCGAGCGATGCCTAAAACCTTCAACCCGATAACGTAATGGCCATAGTTTTGTGAAAGCTACATGAAACCCCGGCGTATATGCAAGTCTAGTTTTTCCCTGACATGCTGGACTACGTCAATCGCCCGTGACAGATCCACGTTAAACTCCATGAACCTATGCTGAGGTGACTAAACAGTCATGCAGAGGAGCCAAATCTTTATAAAGACAGAACGGAGCCTTTGGTTCTAGAGAAACCTGGAGTTTATCCATACATATCTCCGCTCGCCGTCCACTGCAGGATAGATGCTGCCATTCATCACATGAAACGCTTTTTTCCGGTGCGAATTAAGGAAGAAAGTTAGTGAGCTAAGTACATCGGCATGCATGCTTAATGTAGTATACAAGCAAGCTGAGCGCGAATCAAGTCCCAAGAAGTGAGGGAGCTAACATTGCTGCCCCCCCCTACCTTCACCAGTAGCATGACCCCCCTGCGCCCCCCCCCCCACTCTTACTCATTACCTGCAAGGCCATTTATTTGACCCAGGCCTATAAACCCACATAGTTAAAAACCAGGGGCAGGGCGTCCACGCGCACAGGCCGCGCCGGAGGAGCAGGTGACAGCCCTGCCGACGAGACCGACAAGGGAAGACCCCCGGGTGAGGGCGCAGGGTGTCTTCCAGCGAGACTGCGTCTCGTGCCAAGTGACAAAAACAGGTCGGGAGCAGGGGAAACACCGGGGGCGCGGGGCATCGAGCGGAGACGTCCCACGCCGCTCGTGTTCGCGCCGCACCGTGGGAACGGACGGCCAGAGGGCGGCCAAGAAGGTTCCGTGCAGATCAGAGGAGCAAACCAGAACAGAGCAAGCTAAACGACACCAGCTGGAGGATTCCATCACCAGAGGAACAGGCGTGTTCTCCCTCACACTGGGGTGCGTCGCCGCGGGCATCCGTTACATCATCCCGGCCCACCCTCAGTGTGCTCGCAATGCACAAGAGGTTCCAAACGATATTTTTGGAAATTTTCAAAATGCTGCATAATGTTGCAAAATTCGTTTAGGCCAGACAATGCAAAGGTGGTGCCTTAAGACCGCATCCAGTGTCTTCAACACGATGAGAGATCTCCTAAAAAGTAATAAGAAAACATTGCATAATTGCAGAAGTTACAAAAAATTGCGCAGCACACCTCACTGCAACGGTGCAGTAGGTTCAATTCCGTGGAAGATGTGCTGTAATATCTTAAAGGCATACTCACGCCGGCTCTTTGCTCAGACAGGGGTCTGAACTTATGGATCACTCGAAAAAACGTCCAGATTTTAACGACCCGGCGTTGTAGTGGCATGAAACCGACACATTTGGACGGGGCAGAAAACGGATTGCCATGCTGTTAGAGGTAGCACTAGACATTTGCATGGGGTTTTAAACTGAAATAGCCACCGTGAAGACCATTTAGTGCAGTTCACAACTCTGCCCTTCTAAATACCTAAATCTTTCTCGTTTTGAGCTACACGCCCGCGAACATGTGCAGACTATTTTAGGGACATTATCCCGAGGTATCACAGACATCTATGACGCCATAATAACGTTATTCAAATTCAGCCATTTCTTTCTTAAAATTTCATCCGACCCCTTTGAACAGATGGATTTCTGGAATTAGCGCCCGCGCTAAGCAGTGCTTGTTGAGTGAGCCCTGACCCCTACCATTCCAATTCCAGGCAACGGCAGAATTTTAGTGGCGAAAGATTAACGTGCCGCAATGCTCGGCACGGTCCGTCCCGCCCTCTGACGTCAACTGGCCTTCAACGCGACCGCTGCCACCGGCACAGGCCATATCTGCCAAGGGCAAATAGCGAGCGCCCTAAAGCGACTTGAACTCATCCCGCCACGGATGGGTGGATCGGAATGCAGGCGCTCTAACCAACTGAGCCACCGGGACGGACAAGTCATTCCTGACCTGACCCAAGTGAACACCACCTGACATGACCCGAATAAACACCGCATGACTTGACCTAAATCAACACCACCTGATCTGACCCGAACCAACACCGCCTGAACTGACCGTGACGGTCATTCGTCCGGAGGTGGGCTGGTCTGCGCCGCGCAGCCCAGGCGCCGCGTCCGACGGTCCCCGCCGCCTGTGGCCGGCGCCACCTCCACGCGAGAGGCGCGACGCCTCCGGTTCAAACCAGGTCAGGGACTTTGGATGGAGTAAACAACCCTCTCTCTCTCTCAGAGGCGATAAAGGCATTCACCGCTGCGTACTCCGCCATGCTCGTCTCGTCGCAGCTCAACAGCGCTCCACCTCGTTAGGGGACCGCGGTATCTTTCGTCCTGACTAGGGTACGATGGAAGGCTATGTCGCGTGTAACTCCACGCTGCCGGCGTTAGATATTTATAACCACCCTCGTGAGCCGGCGTTTGGTATGTCGGCGTCCCGGTGCAACGGTCCGCTCCAGCTCTAATATAAACCACGCACGTGCGCCGAACGCGCTCCTTTGGCAAGTACTTACAACCTGGTGAGGCACTGGGCTATCCAGCAACCTCGCTACCCTGATTAACCCAGGCGCAGGTCACCCAGTAAGGTACAGGTCGCTCTCACCATTCACGTGTTTAAAGGTGTGGTTCCTCAGCATAGGACAGAGAAGCCACTACGCTATATTGCTGTATATTGTGTGTCCTCCGTTTACTGTCTGAATGCGAATCTACCAGCGATCCACGCGAGTCGTAATTGCCGCATACGTTTTCGCTGTTTTTCGCAGTGATTCGGAATGAGGTAATGTGATGTCAAGAACTGTGCTCGCGCCGATGGACGCCAAATAACCGAACGCGAATCCTTCCGTACGTCATGCTCGCGGGCAACCCGCCCTGCTCCGTGCTTTAAAGCTGATCAGGCCACTCGGGCGCCTCTCGGACCGCGGAGTTCATCATCTGCAGCGGACGCGGGGAGAAGACGACACCCCACACGCAGCCCTCGCCCCGTGTTCCCCCGAAATCTTCTGCAACAGTCAGCGTCCGCGCCACTAGGTGTATTCCAGCGTCCCTCCGCCACAGACCGGGCCACTGTGCTGCGTCAGCTGGAGCGCACGCCGCGGGCGGCGACCGACGAGTGTGCCCTCTGCACGGCGAGGACACCACACCGCCAGTGACCCCCGCGGTCCGAAACCGCCGCCGGCCGGCGCCCACACCAATCAGCGGCCGGGCGGGGAAGCACGGTCACCGCGCGTGCGCACTGGCCGTCGGGTCACGACTCGATGTCCCTGGACGAGAGCATGGCACATCCCTGATATTGCACATGGTACATCCACACAGCCAGCCGTCCGACAGTGTTCAGTCGTGCACTGTACAGACGACGACGCTTCTGCGGCACACGCGCTCGCTAACGACTACCCACATGTTCCTGTAGTTGGTGAACACAGCGACTAAGGCGAATGAGACCGCAGGCGAAGGCGCGCCACGGCACAAGATTCCGGCATCCAAACCGAACTACAATAATATCCCCTGAAACAACCGGTAGTTCATAAAGGTCACAAAGCCTACGAGCAGGGCACCCTTTGGACGCCTCTATACACGACCAGTTTCAAAACAGACCGTCGTGAAAATACTACTCCGCAAAGCATACGCGAACTCTATCAATGACGCTACTAACAAATCGTTGCGACAGTTGCACAGGAGTTTGTGTCCCGAACCCAGACACAACAGATCAGCATTCTCCCCACACGGAGTGCGCTTTGCAGTGGGCGCGTTTACCAAGCATACATGGTATAAAATCAGATTCCACTCATTCCTTTGGCCGTACTGGCAAACGAAATGTTGAGCATCGTTGCAAATGAACTGGAAACGACGTCGCACAGGCCGCACGAAACTGTCTTATACGCGCAGGCACATAGTACAGCGGTAGAGAGCCGTTCAAAAGCGTCCGGCGAACTCGTGCATCGTCATCAAAATGCCCCGCCAGCTTGCCCAGCTTCCTGCGACGCAAACGGCGCTTTCTGGATCGTGGAGCGAACGCCACGCTACGAGCCGGCTGGTGGCTACGAGCATGCTCCCGAATCGGTCACAGTCCCACTTAACAATCCCCACAGGCTACAAACGCCTCTAACGACTACCGTGTTCAACGCGTTTGGCATTGCACTACGAGCGCCGACCGAGCCGAGCTCGACCGCCAGCGCTGTACCGCCGTATATCTTCCTCCCGTCGTTCGCAGCGAGCCGGGGCCAACTTCGCGGTCGCCTCCAGTGCCGCGCCTGACCGTGCGTGGCGACCGCGCTCTGGCCGTCCGGTCCGGCTCCGGAGCGGCGCGCGCCGCGTCGCTGGGAGGGCGGCGAGCGTGGCGTCGCTGCGGCGCCCGGTCACTCCTCAGCTCGTGGCTGGTGGCCCACCTGCACGGCGTCGCCGCCGACGTTGACCAGACACTGCGCCTGAGGAGCGGCGGACAGCGTGGCAGCCTCAGGCGTGCGCCGGACGGGCCCGAGGCGGTCCGCCTACGCGAGTGGGGCGCCCAGCACACGTCTGATGCCACGCCCTGCGCAGGCGTCAGGCGTTTGCGTGGTGATGGTGATGGAGCCGGATTTCAACAGTGAGTTGAGAGAAAAGTGATTGAAACCAGCTTAAGCAAGGAAAAGGGACCAAACAGAAAAAAGGATCGAATGCAATTTTACGGGACGGTCAACACAAGGACTTTTCAACTTTTTGAACCTTTGACCACTGAACTAGTCTTACTGGCGGGTTAATTACTCACACCACCGCCCCCGTTGGTAGTAATATGTAACCAACGTTGCCCTTCCGTTGCTCTTTTACCCCAGTGGTAGAACGCTGAACTTGCGATAACAAAACACAGGTTCGAATCCAAGCAGTTCCAAACATAACAGGTTATAAAAGGCACATGGCTGAAGCAAAACACTACCCATTTCTTCCCAGGACTCAACAATACTTGACGACAGCAGAATTAGCTGACCGGGCCGTTCTCGACACACTACCGCACCAGGCGGGAACGATAGACTAAGTCATTATACCCTCCTTCTCGCCCCGCTGGTGAGTTGCTTCTACCCTCTAGGACCGGACGCCGTCGAGAAGCCACCAGTTTAGGACACGCGCGACACAGTCGGACACTGAGACCGCGGCTGATCACACGGCGGAACTCTAGCCGCCAGAGACAGAGCCGCCGGAGCCCGGGACAGCCGAGCCAGGACCACTGGAACCGGGGCCATCGGGACCATCGGAGCCGCCGGAGCGGGGACCGGCCACTCACCTGGTTCTTATGCGGGTTGGGCAGCAGCACGCACTGCGACATGAAGTAGGAGACGAGCGCGTTGCCGCCGAGCGAGGTGACGTGGGCGCGCACCACAGCCAGCACCTCGGTCACCAGGTCTTGCATGAAGCCATTCAGACCGCCCACCTGCCGAACACGCGTGTCACGGCCGGCTCCACACAACGTGGCGTGAGACCACGTGACGAGGTGGCTGCACCACCAATCGACCGAGCCCAGCGCGATCCCCAGGGGCGTGCCACCACATCTGTCCGGCCCACACTGCAGCACGCCAGCTGGTTGTCGGCGCGCGGCGGCACGGCCGCGGTGCCTCCCTCTCACCTCGCGCAGGCTGGTGCACTCCCTGATGAAGAAGAAGTTGAGGTTGCCCAGCCAGCGCTCCACCCGGCCACCCGTCACATGTGGCAGCGGGGTGATGATGACGTCATAGTCGCCGCGCCACAGCGAGTTCTGCGGGGCGGGGCGCGACTCCAGGTCACCGTCACAGCCGTGGCCAGGAGGCAGGCTGTCAGACGTACGGTCTCGAGAGGACGGAATCGACGCGTGTTCGGACGCACACCATGCGGCGGGCTCCGCGGACCCCAGCGGACAGCGGGGAACCCCACCCAACACGTGGAGGAGCCACCAGCCTTCTACCACACACGGCGTCCGGCGCGGGCGCGGCAGCGGCCGCCGGAGAACGTGAGAGCACAACTGGACAACACGGTCGACGCCACGCTCCCGGGAAGGCGCCCCGCTCTGCGGTGCAGGTGTGGTGGGTGTGTCCAAAACCACCTCACACCCGTCCAGCTCCCCGGGGTAGCGACGGGCCCCCAAGTCCACATCCGACAGTGGGCTCTGTGCCGTCTTATTCACATTGGTTCGTTACCCGGTCATGCAGTGTGCGGTCGCGCCTGTGGACTCCCGCCATGCTGCTGATCACGCCTGCGGGATCAGCCGCCGTTACGAACCCCGGGCCCCAAGGCGCCACGCCTCATCCCGTGCTGCGTGAGTCACCGGCCAGTCCCCTATCACGTGGCGGACGCGTGCGCCGGCTGTGCAAGAGGCCACCGTATATCACGGGTGCAAAGGGCAGCTGATAGCCACGTGCACGGAGCGGGCGTCAGGCGCGAGGTCAAAGTTCCGGGCACAGCGCAGTACAGCGCGGTTGTGCGCGGTACAGTGTGTCCGGACCACCGACCAATCACCACTGGCGACGACGGAACCTTCCCTTGTATGGTCGTGCGCCTAACTCCTTGCTCTACCGCCGGCCAATCACCACTGACGACGACGAAACTACCCTTATATGGCCTTACGAATAGCTTCTAGCTCCACCACCGACCAATCACCACTGGCAAGGACGAAACCTACCCTTATATGGCCTTACGTCTAACTCCTACACTCTCTGGTTTTGCCGTCACCGACGGACGTAAGCGAGCACATACGGGGACAGAGCGCACCATCTTCAGTTGTTTGCGAGGGGGCCAGAAGGGAGACTGCTACTCCGCTCCGGCCACGGTTCCAGCTCGCGATCCCACAGCCTGAGCGAGCCGCTGCCGTGGCCGCCCACCCAACACAACGCCGATGCAGTGTACCTCCCTGATGCCAGACACCTCGCATCATTTACAAACCATGGAACACGATCTGGAGACGTGATGTCGGCGCATCTCAAAAGCCGCCCCGCACTAGCTCACGGGTATTCAGCAGCGGCAAGATCACCGCACGGTCCATTCGAGCAACGTCTTACGAGGGCGAGAGCGAAGCTGCGATCCCGGGGGTACCAGGACCATGCTGCCGACCGACCGTCACCTGTGGAGGGCGGGTGACCCGCCCGCCCGCCCGTCGGCTTCACTCTGCATGGAGGCGGCGCCACGGCCGGTCCGTACCTGGGCGCGCAGGCTACCGCTGGCATTGTCGGAACGCAGCGGCGGCGGCGGCCGCTCCGGCGCGCCCTCCCCGTCCTCCGTCGCCGCCGAGCGCACCGACGTCTGCTTGCTGAGTGGCTCGCTGACGCTGAGCGCGGCGCCTGCCGCAGGCGACGTCACCGGTCAGCCGAGAGAGAGGTCAGGGCCAGCACACACTCACGCGCCACACACACGCGCACGCACAAGCACACGCACACGCACACGCACACGCACACGCACGCACACACACACACACCACACACACACACACACACACCACACACACACACACACACACACACACACACACACACCAAACATGCCTGCCGCCCGCGGCGTCACCGGTCAGCCGAGGACGAGGTCAGGGCCGGCCGCACCAAGGACAGCCAGCACACACCGCACACGCATACAGACTGCCCTCAAACAGGTGGGAAACCACACATATAAACAGCAGAAGACGTGTTTGATTCGAATTTGACCACCATCTCTTGATAGGCAGTCACTTTGTGCAGTGCTATGCCGCTCCCAGCGCTTCTGTCACGCTGGGAACGCTCCCGGGAAATCTCTGACTTTGAGCGTGCCATGCGCCATCTGCGATTCACGTTGGATCTCCTCAACGATGTTAAAACGGCAGACCCGTTCATTGCTCTTTATCTTGAGGAAGGCGCGCAAGTCCCAGATAGGCGAAGCCAGCGAGTAAAGCAGGCGCGAAAAGGCGACGGAGCTGGTGAGGAAAATGAATTTTTCAGCACCCCGAAATGTTGTTATTCTTCACTTTTACACATCTTCCTTACGAGCGCAAAAACAACAAACAATGCCGCGGGCAGAGGTCGCCGACCGGCGCCGGCGCCCGGTGGCCCGGTCCGCCGCCGATACCCCGCTACCCGGCTCGCCTCTCCCGCAGCGGAAGTTGTCATGTCGGAGCGTTCCACTGCCACCGCGCCCCACTTCAGGCCGTTCACACCGGATGTTCTCCCTCAGACGCCTCGGATTGGTACAGTAGAGCCTGGCACTGACGGCCCACCCCGCGGGGATGATTTAGCAGTGCACAACGCCGCACATGTAACAAAAACAAGCGTACCATTGTCTCGCACCTAGCCTGCCTGCTTCATGGAGAACGTTGTGTGCCAGGTGTTCTAACATGACAACGTGCCTGCTTACAGTGCGCTATGAATGCACGAGGTTCTAGGCCGCGCCAGCGCCATTGCCACTTCCCCACCGCCTTAGGTTACACGTACGTCGCATTAAGCTAAACGTCGACCTCTCCTTCTTTCCCCACAATGGATTTCAAGCTGCAGGGTCGCCGTTTGCACGGAGGCAAATCCAGAGCGGACCGCAGATTGTGCTGACACGCTCAGATAACGCTCGGAAACCGCCGGAACCTGGAGCCCGCCAGATGGCGCTGGGTGAGCACACCGATTACGGGTGTGAAATTTGAACAATCGAATCATTTGGTTCGGGTACGTATGACATATAATCTTATGTTCCCACAGACACTGGACCTGGTGATCTAATGCGATGAGCTCCGTTTATTGGCTGCCGTTATTTGTTTAATTCATTACGTTACATATTGGAAAAGGTCTAAATCTTTGCTATCATCATTCCTGCAAGTTTCCTATAGTCATTTCTGCGTTTCTCTTCGACATAGATGATAGACACCTTCCATATCTTTTGAATGTTTCTGAGTAGTACAGGCACAGCAGGTGAACAATACAGCCCCTTCCATATCTTTTGAATGTTTCTGAGAAGTAGGTACAGCAGATGGACAATACAGCCCCTTCCGTATCTTTTGAATGTTTCTGAGAAGTAGGCACAGCTGGTGGACAATACAACCCTTGTTTATTTTCCACATAGCTTTCACTGCTTCCAGTGTGTCCTCGCGATTGTTCTGAACGGTGTGGTAAGCCAGAGGTAACATTGGAGGCAAGTCTTTGTTGTTTTTTATTTTCGTTGTTTTTATCATTATTTATTCGTATCATATTTGTACTATTTTTGTTTATTTTTGGTTATTTTTGTTGTTATTATTCTTGAAAACAGAAGTAGGCTGACGCTGTTATTTCAGGTAAATGCGGATTTTTCGTCGGTTTCCAGTTTTTCCCACAGGGACAATGATTCCCGTCTTCTATCGGCACAATTTCGCACCTACTCCACTCCAGATCAGATACTGTGTGAGGGGCCGACCCTCTCCAAATGAGATGGCCGCCCGCTGCAACCGCACCTTCACTCTTCCGCACGTACCGTACACGGAGATCTGGATCTCGTCCGCACACGTACCGTACACGGAGATCTGGATCTCGTCGTCCTCGGGCATGTCTATGCTGAACCGGAGACCGCACAGTGCACACGGCGCCAGCTTACGCAGCTTGAAGTACAGACCCTGGGGGACGGCGTCAGCGACGGGTCAGCCCGCCGCCAGCGCCAGCCGGTCAGAGGTCAGTCCAGCCGCACAAATCACCGCGGGGGACCGCGTCACGGACACCGCACGCGCCACGGACGACCGATGGCGCGACGGAGCGGCGGAGAGCGCCGCCGCGCGCCGCGCGCCCCACCTGGATGATCTTCTCCACCAGCTGTGCCAGGTGACGGTTGGTGACGCTGACCAGCTTGGTGCGCACGATGCGCGTGAACAGCTGGCGATCGTCCATCAGCAGCCGGTCGGGCACACCTGGCACGCCGGCCGTCGACACCAGCTCGAACAGCTCCGGCGGCCTCGGGCTCATCAGCATGAACAGCATGTCGGCGTCCTCGGCGTCGTCCATCTGTGGCGGCCGAGGCGTACCGGGCGGAGATGAGTTACGGGAAGGGCGGACGTGCGTTACGGGAAGGGCGGAGGTGAGTTACGGGGCGGGCGGAGGCGAGTTACAGCACGGACGAAGGCGAGTTACGGAACGGGCCAAGGCGAGTCACTGACGGGAGGAGGCGAGTCACGGCGGCGGTGGTGGCACCAGGCAAGGTAGCGAAAAAATACGTTGTCATCCCTTTAAATTCGTGGGAGTCTGTTATTAAAGAGTCAGAATAAACAACTTTTTGTTTTCTTAAACCCAAAGAAACGGTCGGTCTACGGTATGCACATCCCAAATTCATTCTAAGCCACATTTTTCTATTTGTTTCAGGCCAACGAGCAGCCGACAATGAAATACATACACACCTTGTTCCCCATATCCGGATGCTGATCCCAAAGCTTTCGCTCAATGTCGATTGAGATTATGCCTTTCTTTATCAAGCTGTACATAGAATGAATCTTGGTTCACGAATGGGCTGTACACGTGGGGGAAAAGCTGGAAGTGGATGGATGTCCGCGGCGTCAAGTTAATCTATGGCCGTCACGTCTTAACGGTGCATGCTAGCACGGCATAATTGACGTTTCTTCTCAAGTCAGGGGGTTGAGTGTGGAAATAGGCTTGTAAATGGGGGCGTAAACACACACCTTCTTCTCTTGGCGGCCTCAACAGACCGCTTGGTTCTAATTCAGCTTGGGTCGCGGCGAAAATCAAGCTGTTATCGCCAGCTCCAGCCGCGCCGGTTAAAGCCCAGGCTGACGCCACCATACGGGCGTGTGTGACCTACACAGTAGGTCTGCCCCCACACGAGCATAGCTCGGTCTGGAGTCTCGGCCGACCGGGCCGACACAGACCGACCGGCGGACATGACACGGCTGGCGGGGACCCCCGCCATCACTTCTGACACGTCCCGAGCGGTTCCCATTGCAGGTTCGACTGCGACACGACGCCACGGCGTCCAAAGCGGCGGGAGTGGCGCCGCCGCCGCCCGCGCCCGGACCGCAGCGGCGCACCTCCAGTATGCAGGCGTCCTTGTTGCCGGCGGCCAGGTCCAGGTCGGGTTTGTCCTCCTCTTCGTCGGACTCGTCGTCGGAGGTGCGCTCGGAGACGTCCTGCCGCACGGGTCAGGCGGCGTCAGCAGGCAGACTCGCCGGTGGACGAGCTCCGTCCACAGACAACGCCGCTGGTGCCACGACGAGAGCGAGACGCAGCCAGCAGCGCAAAGGCCCGCCCCTCACAGAACACAAAGGGGTCACGTTACGTGAGTATCATCGTCCACGGCGCGTTGGGCAGCGAGCGGGTGGTAACCAGTGCGCGTAGCCAGCACACAGTCCAGGCGGCGCCACACCGCTGTGGGCTGATGCGGGAGCCAGTGGGAAGGATCCAGCGGCCGGCGCTCCAGGCCATCTCAGGAATCAGCAGCCTGGAGTCACGGCCGGGGCTCCAGGCCGTCTCAAGACTCAGCAGCCTGGAGCCACGGCCGGGGCACCAGGGCATCTCATAATACGGCAGCCTGGAGACGTAGCCGGGGCCCCGAGCCGTCTCAGAACTCAGCGGCCTGGAGCTGACACCGGAGCTCCAGCCCGTCTCAGGACTCAGCTGCCTGGAGCCACGGCCGGGGCTCCAGGCCATCTCATAACTCAGCAGCCTGGAGATGTAGCCGGAGCTCCAGGCCGTCTCAGGACTCAACAGCCTAGAGCCGGGGCCGGGCCAGCCACCACGACTCCCGAGTCGCGAGTACCTGCCGACGGCGTGCCCTGACCTGTCCCGTCAGCTGGAACGCCTCCCGGTTGCTGGCCACCGTGTCGGCGATGCGCCGCTGCGTCTGCTCCAGCCGGTCAGCGCCCTCCTGCACGGCTGTGGACGCGGCGGCCGCTCGTTATACGGCCGGCCGCTCACGAGCGGCGCGCGGCGCGTGGCCGACAGACGACTCCACTCGGCAGGCGTACACGCAAGCGGTGTGGCGGGGCCAGCTCTCACAGCCTGATCATACAATCCGATTTGACCGGTTCATCAATGAATGCAGCGTTGTGGCAATTAGATCGAAGGTGCCAGAAGAGCTGTATAGCATGCTGCCACTGAGGTTTTGCTTGTCAGTGCGTTGTCGATAATGAGCTAGGCTTCAAACACGGTGTCGGGGACGCTTGCCACTACGCACACGGCGCGACCTCCCGCCTGATCCCGGGTAAGGTCCCACCGCCGGAACACCAGCGTCACCAATGCTAAACCACGGCTGCCTCGGTCCCGTGCTCGCCCCAGGCCCGCGCCGGGCGGCTGACCTGAGGTCACGCGGGGCACCACGGGCGGCGGCAGGGCCGTCAGGTACACAGCCGTGGCCGTGGCCACCGCCACCATGATCTGCTCGCCGATCGACAGCTGAATCTGCCGGCGGACGGCGCCGGGTCAGCGCCGGCGCCGCGCCGCGCCCCGAGCAGACGCGGCAACTCTCACCACGCGCCCCATCCATTTGGCACAGCGCGCAGAGAGGCGCACCACCGCCCGCACGAGATTCAGCGTCTCGACGCTCACAAACGGCGCCGCACGCACGTCAGGGGCGAGCTGGTCACACGGCGCAGACAAAGGCAGAGACAGCCGACACAGGTCGAGCTCCGTACGCGGACAGGGCGGCTGGCCACGCCGTGGGGAGGCCTGGAGTCTGCGCCGCGGTGGCCAGCGGTACCGTCAGACTGAAGAGCGCGTTCATGCCGAGGATGCGCAGCTTGTTGAGCAGCTGGCGGTGCAGCTCGTACTCGAGGAACGGCAGCCGGTCCGACACCTCCTTGGCGAGCTGCTCGGACTTAACGTCAGCCTTCTCGCGGCAGACGCGCGCCTGCCGGACGGCGGCACGTCCGAGTCGGACACGAGGCTGCCGTCGGCCAGTCACGGCTGAGCAGAACGCTCGCGCGTGAGCACAGACCAGCGGCCGGGACACGCCGTCAAAGGGCAAGTCGGGAAGGCGTAGGATTTCAGGCTAAACATAGTCATGACAGTTGAGTCCCATTATCGGTGGCCAGGCAAGAATGCCGTAACCCGTGATCTCATGCTCTCTCTACAACCCATGATCTCATGATCTTCGTGTTCGGTTCTTGAATGCCGCTTCCAATACGTTCGGGTGGCGCTTCAGATGAAAATTAACCCGTGCTGGCCGTTCACCAGGGCTCCGCACTCCTGGCGCCAGCTGGAATACGACTCCGCCGGCGCATCCGAGACAGGAACGATAGTCCCTGGTGCACAGCGGCGGACGGGCGCGGCTCTGACCTGCACCAGACAGCCACGGCCCGTGATGGCCACGTTCGTTGGCGGTTCGATCGTGCTGAAGATGACGTCGGGCACCGTGCTTTTCCTAGAACACGAATACGAGGACCCGTCAGCCGCACAGACAGCGGCGTAACGCGAACACAGACAGCGGCGTAACGCGAGCACAGACAGCGGCGTAACGCGAGCACAGACGGCGACACAACGCGAGCACAAACACCGGCGTAACGCGAGCACAGGCACCGGCGTAATGCGAGCACAGACAGCGACGCAAAGCGAGCACAGCCACCGACGTAATGCGAGCACAGACACCGGCGCCACACGAGCACAGACGGCGGCGTAACGCAAACACTGACAACTGCGTATCGCCTTGCGGCGGCGCATCGCGCCCGATGTCACAGTGATCACGATCAGGTCGAGGCGATCGACGGAGCAATAAAAATACCGAACGTGTCTCCGAACATCCCACAGAGCTGTCAAATGGCCACGTAACGAATGCGAGCCAACAATGACCCCGAATAGCGGCCGGCGATCAGCGGGCCGGCCGTCGTGCCGCCGGCGGCGCAGCGGCCCGAGGCCGGCGAGCGGCGCGGCCTGCTGCCACGCCAGCCGCAGGTACGCACCGGCAGAGGGCGCAGCGCACCTGCAGCGCCGACACCGGTATGCTGCCCTGGCTGTAGGGCAGGTGGCAGGGCGCGCAGCTGGCCGCCGCCACGTCCGGCTCCTCCAGGATGGTCAGCGCCTGGCGGGCGGGCGGCGTCAGTCGGGTAGACACGCGGCCCAGCAGTGCCCGCGGTCCCGCCGCGGCGGCCCCACGCCACGGCTCAACATGGCGGCCTGCAGTCTGGCGCGGCTAGCCACCGGCGCAGAGGCTCAAAACGGCCGGAGCGCTGGGCCCGTCCGTCCTTAACCTGTTACGATCGTAGGACTGTGGCCGAGATTACTGCTCCAGGGAGGTCTATATTTCTGAGTCAAGTGATGTTATGATGACGCACTACATCAAACAACTCACACACAGTTACCTCGCCACGCGAGCCAAACGACTGTCAAACTCGGGTGAAGAGGGGCACACCGCAGTAGCCCACACGGCGGCCAGGTTGACCGCGACGCTGAAAGCCGCCTCTGACAGTCGGACCGGCGGGGCCGGACCAGCACTCGGACCGGACCGGACCGGACCGGACCGGACCGGACCGGACCGGACCGGACCGGACTGAACCAGACCAGACGGCCGGACCAGACCAGACGGCCGGACCAGACCAGACGGCCGGACCAGCAGCACCGCGCCGTCCCAGCGGAGCGCGCTCCGCGGCGGCGGCGGCGGCGGCAGGGCCCCACCTGGCTGGTGAGGCTGGCCTCGAGTCGGAGGGCGGTGCGGACCTCGCGCGAGTCGCAGCGCGCCGCCGCCGCCGGCTCCGCCAGCCCCAGCGCCGCGAAGTTGACGGTGGCTGCCGTGCCGTATGCGCTCAGCACACACACGTCGTCCCTGGGGCGGCAACGCACCCGGTCAGCACAGCCGGGGAAGGGGGAGGGGCAAGCGTCGGGAGCAGGGATCACGCGCAGAGACGGCAGCGACAGCAGTGACATGCGCGAATATAGAAACAGCTGCCAGAGGGCGGCGATAAGCTGCCAGCTGCCAGAGAACAGCTATAAACGGACAGAGGGATGAAAAAGGGCCCGTCAACGCTCACTGCTCCAAGAATATCATCGAAAGTCCGACAGTTGCGTAAGTTCGGGCACACAATTGTCGTAAAAACGTTTGGTCATTCCGTTTCATTTTATGCAAGAGATTAAGTGGCGGCGGGACGTCAGCGCGCATTTAAACTACCACTGGTTTGGGTCGTCAGCGCCTGAGCCCCGCACACCAACTGCCGTCTACGAGGCGGCTGATACACCCGTGAGTTACACTCCAGCCGCGTCGGGACCGGGGAAACAAACGACGCCGATAGGAGGGTCAAACGCACGAACACAAGCCTAAACACGTCACAGCCGCAGAGGCAGGAGGGCTGACAAAAGGACGCTACACTGCCAAACAGAGCTACCGTTCCGTAGCGGCTCACGTCGCACAGGAGTCTTCCCGGGGTAGTGACACCGAATCCACGAGAACACTGACGGTGACGAGCCCGCGTGCTCGGCCCGAGGGCACGCCGACCTCGAGCGCCGCCGGCGGGCTCACCAGATGGTGGTGGTCTCCTCGTAGCCGAGCACCACCTGGCAGGCGAGCGCCTTGCAGTGGGAGCGTACCTCGGTGCGCAGCTCCGCCCACCAGGCGTCGCGACTTTCGCTCTCCTCCGGCTGGGTGATGCGGTCCAGCAGCTTCACCGAGCGGGCGCTCACCGTACCGCCTGCCGGGCCGGCCGGGGCAGCCGTCAGCGACCGAGGGCGTGCCGGGCCGGCGGGGACAGCCGTCAGCGGCCGGGGGGCGTGCCGGGCCGGCGGGGACAGCCGTCAGCGGCCGAGGGCCGTGCCGGGCGGCAGGACAGCCGTCAGCGGCCGAGGGCGTGCCGGGACGGCGGGGACAGCCGTCAGCGGCCGAGGGCGTGCCAGGCCGGCGGGGACAGCCGTCAGCGGCCGGGGGCGTGCCGGGCGGCAGGACAGCCGTCAGCGGCCGAGGGCGTGCCGGGCCGGCGGGGACAGCCGTCAGCGGCCGGGGGCGTGCCGGGCGGCAGGACAGCCGTCAGCGGCCGAGGGCGTGCCGGGCCGGCGGGGACAGCCGTCAGCGGCCGGGGGCGTGCCGGGCGGCAGGACAGCCGTCAGCGGCCGAGGGCGTGCCGGGCCGGCGGGGACAGCCGTCAGCGACCGAGGGGCGTGCCGGGCCGGCGGGGACAGCCGTCAGTGGCCGGGGGCGTGCCGGGCCGGCGGGGACAGCCGTCAGCGGCCGAGGCCGTACCGCCGTCAGCCGGCCGGCCGGAGGCTTCTCGCGCAGCCACCAGCTGTTGGTTCATTGCATCTGCCCGGTGTAACGCAGCACACGCATACCACAAAACGCGGCAACAACTCGCTCGTCTCAGTTACAATCGGAGCGCTCACGCCTCGGCCACGCACCGAGCCCACACACCGCGCATGGCCGACGGGCCGTCGGCGCCTGCCGTACCGATGTGCGTGATGAAGCCCGGGGCGAAGGTGCGCAGCGTGACGAACGGAAACTCGGCCGACTCGTAGTTGTCCTGCTGCTGGCTGCGCTGCTGGGCCGAGGCGGCCACCAGTTGCGCCAGCAGTTTGGTGTCGGCGCAGCTGGACGAGCTGCTGCTGGGCGCTGGCGCGGCGGACGGCAGGTGAGAGCGCGAGAGTGGCGGCCGCTTCAGACCGGCGGCGGCACGCATCCTCACAACACCCGTCTCCGGTCGGAGGGTGGGGGTAGACACCGGCCGGCTTATGCACCCAGACTTCACCCACGGCACAGGGTCAGCGACCTGGCCTTAAGGAAAATAACGGCTCACTTTTCTGGGCAACCACTCGAGGCTCAATGTGGAACAGCCGCCCCCGAGCTCCGGGTCCCCCGGGCCGGCCCAGTGACCGGCTTCTCCGGCGCGTTCGCTGACCTTTGAAGGTGCTGTCGTTCTCCAGCGAGCGGCTGAGCTGCCTTTCGGCGGCGTCGGGGGCGTCGGCGGGCACCGGCGGCGCGGCGGCGACGGCCGGCGCCTGCGGAGGGTGAGGACTACAGGACGGCTCACTGCAACGCGCGGGCACGCTGTCACGGCGGCGTCCGGCGGCGGCGGCGGCGGGCGCGGCGGCGGCTGCCGCCAGGCGCTGTCCCCGCGCGCCGGCGGCACACTCACACACGGACACAGCACCGGAGCAGGAGGGCGCGTCGTCAGGGGCGCCGGCCCGACGCGGGGCGCTCTGCGGCAGCGCCGCGCCGGCCAGCAGCTGCTCTGAGGACACGCTGTGGAGTGAGGCCAGCCGCGGCACGCCCGGCAGGCAGGCCGGGTCACTCGGGTCGAGGTCGAGCGCCGGGTCCGAGGCGCTGTTGAGGGAAGCCAGATCGGAAGGGATGGAGGAGGCGGAGGCGCCGCTCGGACTCGGCGGACCGGCGGTCGGGGCGGCGCGGGGGTCAGGCGAGCTCTCTGGCGCCGCTGTGTAGTGGTCCGGCGCGGACGCCACACAGCGAAGTTGGCGCGGCGCCGGCGCGGGGACGCCGGGGGAGGCCGGCCGCCAGCGCGGGCCAACCGCGCCCTCGTGATCAACCAGCGCTGCCACGTCGCCGTCGCTACCTGGCTTTGGCGCGCTCTCCGCCAGCGACGCCAAATCGTCCTCACTGCCGGACTGCGCCGACAGTTCGCTAACGCTGTCCAGGCATCGGATGGGCGCAGCGGCCTGCGCGGCAGGACAGGCGGGACGCGGGAATGGTCGGCGCTCGCCCAACGAAACGTCCTCCGGGTTAGTCAAGCTATCTGCACTATCCGGGAACAGCGAGAAGGTGACCGGCCGCGGTGCGCTAGCGCTATCCATGGCATCTAGGCACTCCTGCGAGACACTCTCCAGGTCGAGCACGGGCGCATCGTCATCACATGCGTTGTCCGTACTCAGGCTGGGGTAGAGCGAAGCCACCTCTACTAACACGTTCATGCTGGATATGTACACCACGTCATGCACGTCCAGGCTGTTGAGCGCCAGGTGGAGGGTGGAGTCGGGCAGGTGGGCCGGGCCGGGCGCGCCGGCCGCGCCGTCGCGGTCCTCCTCGCTGCACGAATCCTCCGACGAGCTGATCACCATGATGGGCTTGTCGACTGCACCCGCGCCCTCCTCGTCACCGTCCTCCCCTCCAACAGCCTCCCCCTCATCATCACCGTCTCCGTCATCATCGCCGTCGACGTCTCCATCATCGTCGCCGTCGCCGTCGCCGTCGCCGTCGGCGGCGCCGGTCCCGGCCGACGTGACGGTGGTGAGCGAGTCCTCGTTGCGTGGCGCCGGCTCGCAGGAGGAGGCGCGCCGCCGACCGAGGCGGCGGTGCGCACCGGCCGCCGCCCCCGCCGCCGGCGAGCGCTGGAAGTCGGGCGTACTGAACGCGTCGCGGCCGAGCGTGCGCTCGCCGCGTTCGGCGCCGGGTCGCGCCGCGCGCCGCCGGAAGCTCAGCCTCTCGCGCACAAACTGCTGCGCGGCGGCCAGGATGCCGCGCGGCGCCGGCGGCGGCGGCACGCTGAACGGACAGGGCGACGGCGGCGTGGCGGGCGGCGGCGGCGGAGGTGGCGGCGGCAGCGGCGGCGGCGCCTCCTGCGGCGAGGGCGGCACCAGCTGCACGGCCGGCGCTGCCCCCCTCCGGCGGCGCGCTGCCGGCACAGACGGCACAGGCTCACCGGCGGGCGCCGGTGCCGGCGCGGCCTGGCAGCCGGCGGCGGACAGCGGCACCCAGCCAGCGCCCCCTCCGGCCCGCATCACACGCCCGGCATTTACGTGGGACGGCGCAGAATGCCTCCGCTGGCTTATCTATGACGTACCCATGTATGGGGCACGATCATGGCGATGCCAGTCAAGGGCGTGCGGTGCTAGAGCTGAGGGGGGGGGGGGGAGGGAGCCACGCTGTCCGCCGCTTGGCGCTAAGACAACCACCGAGAAGCACCCAGAGACAGGCAAAGCACAGACACAGCCAACGGTCCAGCCCCGCATCTCCAGGCACCCGCCTGACGCCCGCAGGCAGTAATCGTGACAAGCATAGCGGAGTGCATTGCGAGCGGCAAAGCTACTAGACAGAGCCAACGCCTCTTTAAGTCTGCCAGCCACAGCCAAGCGTGCGAAAGCCTCCACCTTCCACGCACCGCGAGATCCCAGACGGAAAGTCGATGTGTAAAGCCGGCCGCCGATGAAAACATGCAACATCTAAGTGCCGCAAAGGCGCATACCAGCCAGATCCAGAAGCGAACGCCGCAGCAGGCGGATTGCGGACCAAGGTTTCTGCTGCACGGATAATGTATTTATTTACCCGATGCACAACCGTTGCGATGTTTAACACGGGATGACCAGACTATCGCCCGGAAGAACGAATTCATCATTCATTTGCAGTCCAGACGTTATTTGTCTTGCAAATATTTAGGGCCACCTGTGTACAGGTTAACAAACTTTGATGACCTGGAACGCATTATGCACCTCTCAGCTGACTTAGTTACGCTTGAGTGGACCTCATATTGGCCCACAACAAATTGTGTCCGATACAACATGAAATACTTAACTTTACCCTTTAAGTTCACGTCTGACTGTTGCGTACACATGGTGCCTAGTCTACCTGTGCATCGCTGCATATTTACCTGTACCAGGCTTAAGCCTTAATGCAATCCCACCGTCCAGAAGAAAGCTAAAGCGAGCCTGAACAGCTGCGTCATTAAACGGATTGGCCTGTTTGCTCGCAACCATCACGCGAAACCAAAGGGACCAAGAAACGCGCATATTCGGTTTTCCGCGGCTATGTTTTTATACAACCATCCTACCGCGTGATTGCACAGATGACCTCGTTTTGCCCGATTTCGGTCCTCATGGCTGTAATATAAATGCTTCTTTGCTCTTATCAGCCAGTAGCGACGAGGACGGTCTATAAATAATGAGGGCATACTCATATTTGACAGATTGCAAGCCCTTGCCTACCTCCCCACAGAGTGTCTTCCAGGCATAACACCAGCCGCTCAGACGCTGAGTAGGAGGGGGGGGGGGGGGGGGGGGGAGGGCACAGAGCATGGCAGCAGACGTGCAGCCAATGACGCATAACCTTGTAAATATCAGACCATACTCCAGCGCAGCTTAGGCCCAGATCCACCCAAACTGAAGTGCTGTCTTGCCATCGGTCTCTCACATGGTTAAAAGGCTGCCCTTTATGTTTTGTCTGAAAAACCATCCTAACTTTGCGGCGAAAGGAACCCTGGTGAGCAGCGGCGTTTGTCACAAGTTGAAGGCCGCCGCACCAGCCGCCTCCGGTGGCGCGCTCAACGGTGGTAACGCTCAGTCGGTGGGCACTGCGGGTCTGTCGGGACCCGATCCTCTGGCCTGCCCAGCGATGCTAACGCTCAGCGCGTGTGCACTGCGGGACTGTCGGGCCCCGATCCTCTGGCCTGGCCAGCGATACTAACGCTCAGCCCGTGTGCACTGCGGGTCTGTCGGGCCCCGATCCTCTGGCCTGGCCGGCGATACTAACGCTCAGCCCGTGTGCACTGCGGGTCTGTCGGGACCCGATCCTCTGGCCTGGCCGGCGATACTAACGCTCAGCCCGTGTGCGCTGCGGGGCTGTCGGGCCCCGATCCTCTGGCCTGACCGGTGTCAACTGATGTCATTGCCCAGCCTCGCTGGCATCGCATCAGCCAATGACACAGTGTTATGTAGCCGGCGTCAGCTGTTAGCAGCAAAACATTGCCGGTGTCACCGATGGCACAGTATCCCCAGCCGGCATCAACCAACAAATTCATAAGAATGAGACAAAACACTGGTAAAATCCTAGCTCCGATGTGGCAACAATGCTCCACATCCCAGCAGACTTCCTCACATACATGACGCGCATTACCGAACCAGCTTGCCTGCCAACGACAGGGAACCAACGCGCACACCGCCCAGTGCGACGTACTGGGCGGTCGGGGCACACGGGGACGCGTCGTGTGACGACCATCCCACCGCAGCCGCCACCCCTGCACCAGTGACCGTGCCTGACAGGTCACTTTCCGGCGGCGGCGGCGGCGGCGGCGCGCGCTCACCGGTCGCGTCCGCTACCCGGCAGCCGGCTCAGCGGGCTGGGACTGGGCTCCCGCGCCTCCGACCGCACCATGCTGACCGCCGTGCCGATGCCGCGCACCACGATACCGGTCTCGCCCTCCAGGTCGAAGCACTGCCGGTAGCTGGGCACGCAGCGCGCGGTCAGCCCGCTGCTGCCGTCGCGGCCGCCGGCGGAGCGGGACGAAGAGCCGGTGTCGCGGCGAGGACGGCGGCTGGGGCCCGGTCGGGGCAGCGACGGCATCACACTGAGCGTGACTTCAAGACGCACAAGGTGGTCGTTCATAACGCGTGAGCCAGTTGGGCACGGAGACGGAAAAGACTCATCGGCCCTCTCCCCGATACGGTCCAGACAATCTGACGGCCGCTGGGAGAAGAGCGCTCGTTTCACACTTGCTTGCAACATCATTTAAAAAAACTCGAGACAAGAGATTGGACTGCAAGACAATAGTTACTAACATTGCCGGTATACCCACAACGGAAGCTCATCCTTATTGACGTCAGGACATTTGCTGCACACCTAACCCTTCCCCTCACCCACATGGACGTGACGCCCACCCTGCCACCTTCACGTACCCAATAACAGCGTTGCCGCCGGCCTCGATGACGGTGACGCCGATGCGCCGCTGCACCTCGCCCGACAGCTTGGAGAAGAGCGTCTGGCGCGCCTCGTTGGAGGCCCGCGGCGTGCGGATCTTGTCGATCCACTGGTACTCCGGGTCGTCGTTCACCACCAGCTCGTGCACGAAGCCCAGCAGGCTCTGCACGCAGTGGCCGGCCGGCACACACGCGCCTGCCGCACCGGGCCGGTCAGTGCGCAGGGACGGCACGGGGCGGTCAGTGGGCAAGGATAGCACGGCGTCAGTCAGTGGGCAAGGACAGCAAGGCGCCGGTCAGTGGGCAAGTACAGCACGGGGCCGGTCAGTGGGCAAGGACAGCACGGGGCCGGTCAGTGGGCAGGGACAGCACGGGGCCGGTCATTGGGCAGGGACAGCACGGGGCCGGTCAGTGGTCTAGGATAGCACGGCGTCAGTCAGTGGGCAAGGGCAGCACGGCGCCGGTCAGTGGGCAAGGACAGCACGGGGCCGGTCAGTGGGCTAGGACAGCACGGGGCCGGTCAGTGGGCAAAGACAGCACGGCGTCGGTCAGTGGACCAGGACAGCACGGCGTCAGTCAGTGGGCAAGGACAGCACGGGGCCGGTCAGTGGGCATGGACAGCACGGGGCCGGTCAGTGGGCTAGGACAGCACGGGGCCGGTCAGTGGGCAGGGACAGCACGGGGCCGGTCATTGGGCAGGGACAGCACGGGGCCGGTCAGTGGTCTAGGATAGCACGGCGTCAGTCAGTGGGCAAGGACAGCACGGCGCCGGTCAGTGGGCATGGACAGCACGGGGCCGGTCAGTGGGCTAGGACAGCACGGGGCCGGTCAGTAGGCCAGTAGGTAAGGACAGCACGGCGTCAGTCAGTGGGCATGAACAGCACGGGGCCGGTCAGTGGGCAAGGACAGCACGGCGTCAGTCAGTGGGCAAGGACAGCACGGGGCCGGTCAGTGGGCAAGTACAGCACAGGACCGGTCAGTGGGCAAAGACAGCACGGCGTCGGTCAGTGGACCAGGACAGCACGGCGTCGGTCAGTGGGCAAGGATAGCACGGGGCCGCTCAGTGGGGAAGGACAGCACGGCGTCGGTCAGTGGGCAAGGGCAGCACGGCGTCGGTCAGTGGGCAGGGACAGCACGGGGCCGGCCAGTGGGCGAGACCAGAGCGTCGCATGTTGGGTGTGACTGTGCCGTATCCGTGGTCAGACTTCGAGTAGTGCAATGACTGGAAGAGACGTTTTGTACGTCACTGTAACAGCATGCAGGATCCTGTGGTGACTGCGGCTGCAAATACACGTAGACGCGTATTCTACTGCATCTAGGATGACGTCATGTACCGAAGCCCTACACGAAGCGTGCCATATTTTCAACGCCTGCTCGACTCCAACAACGGCATGCTGTCACCAAAGAACTGCCAAGTTGCCCCCCCCCCCCCCCCCCCCCCATACATGTCATGCCATTATAGCACCTATCTGGCCATCAGGTAGGCCCAGACGTCGACGAGGACTGGAGAACTAAGCCAGTGGTAAGCTCAGCCATGCCTTACTGGAGAAGTACTGGACACCGCAGGAAGAGTGTCGGAACTTGTTGAAGTCGGAGAAGAGGTCCACCTTGACCATCACGTTCAGCTCGCCACGCACACCGTGCAGCGTGTCATATATGGGAATCCAGCCAGAGATGATGGACGGACTCACTGTAACCATGGACACACAGTGATGAAGGGCCAGATGCGGCGACCCAGTCACTGTGGCGGCCGACCAGCGGTAACCAGAACGCATGGTTTCTCGCAACGCTGAATATACTAGAGATCATCAGACAAGCACAACTGGACTCGGCCGTTTCGGCCACTACAGCTCCCACCAAGAGGCTTAAGTCTACCCCGTCTGCCCGCGCAACAGCGTCCCTCCCCTCACCGGCCGTCTGTCCGCGCGACGGCGCCCCTCCCCTCACCGGCCGTCTGTCCGCGCGACGGCGCCCCTCCCCTCACCGGCCGGGCTACCCGCGCGACGGCGCCCATCCCCTCACCGCCCCGGCTTTTCGATGGACGCCGGCCCTTTTCTCACCTCCCGGGCTATCCGCCGAACGTTGCCCCTTCTCTCACCGCCCGGGCTATCCGCCGAACGTCGCCCCTTCTCTCACCGCCCGGGCTATCCGCCAAACGTTGCCCCTTCTCTCACCGCCCGGGCTATCCGCCGGGCGGCACCCCTCCTCTCATCGGCCGTCTGTCCGCGGGACGGCTCCCCTCCCCTCACCGCCCGGGCTATCTGCCGAACGTTGCCCCTCCCCACACAGCCCGGGCTATCCGCCGGACATCACCCCTCCCCTCATCGGCCGTCTGTCGGCGGGACGGCTCCCCTCCTCTCACCGGCCGGCTGTGCCGCCTCGGTGCGGGTGATGAGCTCGGGCGCCAGCAGCGGACTCAAGCTGAGGTACACCTTGCCGATGGCGTCGTGCGCCGAGTACGTGTCGTGGTCCATCACGCGGATCTGCAGCGGCTCGTCCTGCAGCTCGGCGTCGTCCTGCACCTGTGACACGGCCACACAAGCGCATGTGAATGGTGGCCTGCTGCAGTATTGCATTGAAAGCAGGGCTGTAGTCTCGTAAAGTAATTTGGGGCGGTGGGCAGCTGAGCTGGGAAATGGAAAAACTATTATCAAGATATACAGTAACAACAGGGTTCTCCTAGGATTTGAGACTTCTTCTCAAAGTTGAGGAAGAGGGTTTGTTGAGGGGCTGGAGCCCCCAGGCCCTTACTGAACAGGAATCTACACCCCTGGCTGACATATCATGTGTGGTGAGTAACTGGTGGGAAGGGTGTGGAGGCATTGATTGACATTGAAAACAATGCATCCGCCAAGGATATCAAAGATGACGACATTTTCAGCACCATTTGAAGTTTCCCAACAATACAATTCTCACAGCTTGTCACCGCCCTAAATAAAATTTCCCTTGCCTACTTCCCTTTCCAAGACTAGGTCCCCAAAACGACACCGGTACTCCAGAGGTCAACCCAAGCGAGCAGTGACACCTGCGCGCTCAAGCACACACCTCGAAGCGAAACCAGTCCGAGTTCCACTGCGGGTTCAGCGAGCGGCGACACACGTCCGTCTTCTGCGTGACGGCGCCTAGCCGCACTTCGACGAAGGCGTCAGTGGTGTCGTTGGCGCGGTCCATGACCGGCAGGTTGCGGCCGGCCAGCACGCGCACCTTCACCTTGCCTGGCATTGTGAATGTTTCTGGAGGCAGCAGCCATCTGTCACACAAGCTGAGGAAGACTGGGCCCACCTAGTGCTGTGTGGTTCTAGTCTGTATGTTACAGTATGTTGTAACAATATATATCAGTCCATTTAGTTGCATTTTTTTGGTAGCTTGCATCAGTGGATCCAAAGATGCATAGCTAGTATGATATGCACTGCTGTAGGCCCAGTAAGACAGATGAATCAGTACCTGCTAGCCATGCACATATTATTTTTCCACTTCCTTAGGATAAATAAATCCCTAAAATATGTATTTTGACCTCAGATTGAAATTTATCCAGCAAAGTCATCTTAATCTATCACAAGCCCAACTAAACCAGTGTGAAAAACCTTGACTGAAGATTTGCAATCCCTGGAAAGGCTTGTGCCCCATTTTGCATGCTTCATTTTTCCTGTCAATGCTCATTGCCTCAAAATGAATGCAACTTCTTTCAAAATTATAAGTAATCCATAACTGAGGCCCTCTTTCAATACATGTGTCTTGGCAGCACTTGAGAGCCCCACATTCTAGACTAGAATCAGTGCTTTTCAACTTTTTATAATGTCTTACATCACACTGTTCTCATCTGAACAGTGTAAGTACATGAGCCCTGAAGGAGCACCTCAACAGGAACCATGTTGCAGCAAAGGGCATGGTCTTGTGAACCATCTTGCCAACCATCAGGGGCCCAAACTAAAAAGCATGTTATGGCAAGATGCATTCTAGCTGGGATCATTCATTGGGTACCTCAGTACTGTGGTGGAGTGACATGAACAGCAAAGCTGTGAGAATTGATTGATTTTGGACTACAACCATATTAAGTCTGGCATAGAACCAAACTCTGCTGCAAAACATATTACTCTATGGAAGCAAACAATTCCTTTATCATAAATAGGCCAATCCCAACATGACTCCCAGCACAGCTCACCTGGCACAAAATAGCATGGGATACCTGGTTTCTACAGGAAAAGGGCTGATGGTGCATCTCCTTTGCCATGCCAGCATCAGGCCTGCATTCCTGGTGCACAATATCCCTACATTATACCATGTTCCCTCATCAAAAGCATTTTGCACACTGCTCAGACACCATGTGCAGTCATGTTCCAATGCAGGTGCCCAACCATCCCTGACTTCACGTGGTGGTGCCGTAACGAAGGTATGGCATCACCTTTGAGGTACCACACATACCTCTCCTGTATCTACCTACCTCTGCATACACCACATCTACCTATGTAGTAAAGTATGATGTTCCTTGCTTCTCCGGCCTCACAAAATATGTAATAGAGAATAATACACTCAAGATATTCAATTAAGTTCACAAATAACAGCTTGTAGAAAAATCAGGCAGAGGGCATTGGACAAAACTCATCACTTCATTATTCTTTTTAACATGACCAAAATGTGTGACTGGCTTCATACAATCCACAGTTATTTACAACACTCGAACATAGCTTTATCCCTACCTTTATCCGCCTCTATCGACCTACCTTGTTTTACACAAAACTGATACCAAACAATATCCAAGGGCAAACACAGAAATGAAACATCCGCGCCAAACCTGTATTTCATCCCGGTGTTATAAAAATGTTAATAGCTGTAGTCAGAAATATACAAACATGACTACAATTTCATTGTAAAAAGATGACGTTTCACAAACCTGCCCATGTGCTTCTCAGCCGATGTATGCAGTGATCAAGACCATTTTTAAGTAACATTGGATATATCCCATGCGGGAAGTATGGAGCAGCGGATCGTCTTGCGTTTCCGTGGGGTTTACAAACAACGAGCCCATGACCCTAAGGTCACGGAAAGGGCTGTAGTTATTGTAGTCTGTTATAGTGTAGTTATCTGTATAGTGTAGTCTGCTATATTCTTCTTCTCTGTTATTCATCTTCTACTCATATTCCGTTAGGGGTAGGGGGCTTCAGTCTCCCTCTTCATCCCCAACTTTGAGAAGAGTAGGCCAGAGTCGGGGAGAAATCCGTTTGCCGACGCATCCTTGGAGGTATGTTACGTAATTTCTCATTGCTTAGCCTCCCCCCCCATCCAGTTAATTTTGCGAAACTTGCGGCCCTAGATCGCGAAAAAGGCTAACCTGGACTTTCTAATACAAACATCACAATTTCGAGAATCTGCAACCCACGACTGCGGTTCGGTTCAAACTACAAACACGTGTTTCGGCGTTTGAGCGCGTCATAGTTAATTCCCAGACACATAGGTAGGGAATAATCGTAATTTGGTGCAGCTATGGCGCCATACGGAGCGTTTTGATGTTGAAATAATAACTGTTAGGTCTTTCAGTGCATAGTGGGCCAAATTCAACGAAGGATGGCGAGGCCGGAGGTATGCTGCCTGCCACACCCACCCAACCCAGTCATCAGAGCGCGAGCCCACATTTCGCCGACCGACGTTCGTTCCCGTATCGGTTTTTAATGTCCGTGAAGTAATCGATTCATTCAGCGATGTTTACAGAGACGAGTTCCGATTTCACTGAAAAATGGTTTCAAGGTCATTTGTGGCATGAGAACACCAAAAATAATCCTTATTTTGCACATCATGCTGCTGTGCGTATGGACACTACCACTTGAGCGCGTATCTTAGCAGCAAGGTTTATTCGGCAGTCACTGGAGCAGCGAGCGGCCCGACCGCCGCGTGCGCGTGTCGCGGCGTGAGGGAGGGAGTGGATGTTTGCAGAGCTTATCTGTTGTCGCTGACGAATGGCATATAAGACATTGTGAAACAATTCGCGAAATAAAAGGTCTTTACGAGTTGGAACCTTTTCTGTCCGTCAAAAAGTCCTGACCCCTCAAGGTCACCTTTCAAGGTCAAACGCGGCTTTAAAGGACGGGGAACTCCATATCACCCAAAAATGACCGGCCGATTGTTAACTAACAAACGCCAGAACATTCACCGCAGTAAGAGCTAGCGTCCGTCAAAAAGTCCTGACCTCTCAAGGTCACCTTTCAAGGTCAAACGCGGGTTCAAAGGACGGGGAACCCTATATCACCCAAAAGTTGCCGGCCGATTTTGACGGACGCTAGCTCTTTCTGTGATGAATGTTTTGATGTTTGTTAGTTAAAATCGGCCGGTAACTCTTGGGTGATATGGAGGTTCTCGTCCTTTGAGCCCGCATTTGACCTTGAAGGGTAACCTTAAGGTCAGGCCTTTTTTTGACGGACGGCAGCTCTTTCTGTGGTGAATGTCCTGATCCTTGTTAAACAAAAATCGGCCGGTATTTTTTGGGTCATATGGAGTTCCTCGTTTTTAGTGCGTGTTTGATCTTGAAGGGTGACCTTGAGAGGTCAGGACTTTTTGATGGACGCTACCTCTTTCTGTGATGAATGTTTTGGTTTGTCAGTTAAAAATTGGCCGATAATTTTTGATTGATATGAAGTTCCCGTCATTTGAGCCCGCGTTTAACTTTGAAGAGTGACTCTGAGAGGTCGGGACTTTAACGGACGCTAGTTTTTTCTGCGTTGAATGTTCTGGTTTTCAGAAAACACAAATCGGCCGGTAATTTTTGGGTGATATGGAGTTTCCCGTCCTTTGAGCCCGTATTTGAACTTGAAGGGTGACCTTGATATGTCAGGACTTTTTGGCGGACGCTAGATCTTTCTGCGTTGAATGTTCTCATGTTTGTTAAGTACAAATCAGCCGGTAATTTTTGGGTGATATGGAGTTCCACGTCCTTTGAGCCCACGTTTGACTTTGAAGGGTGACCTTGAGAGGTCAGGACTTTTGGACGGACGCTACTTCTTTCTGTACTGAATATTCTGGCATTTGCAAGTTGAAATCGGCCGGTAATTTTTGGGTGATATCGGGCTCCCTGTCCTTTCACCTAGCTTTTGACCTGGAAGGTCACATGCTATTGCAAAAGAAGTGTCATCTTTGGTGTTCTCACGCCATAATTGACCTTGAAACCATTTTTCAGTGAAATCAGAACTTGTCGCTGTAAGAAATGCTGAATAAATCGCTAACTTCACGAACATTGGTTTTCATCCGAAGCGGAAATAAATTTCAAAATTCTAAAAACGCCACGTGGACCAGTGGAGCTGTCGGACACAGAAGACACGGATCTGCGTGCCAGCCCGGACAGAGAAGCTTATCGGAAAGCGTTCCGACACGTCTGTACCGGCGACGTGGGACCGAAGTTTCACCACGCATCAGTCATTTCGTAAATATATTTAAGCACGATGGCTGAGCGGACAAGAGAACGGTTAACAGCATGTTCTATGTAGGATCTAGCAAAGCTTTGGGTCATACACAACATACCAGAGCTATGGGTATGTCATGCCAGATGCATTTTGCAGATTTCGATTTGTTTTAACCACCCGCAAATAATTACGAACATATGGCACTGGAATGACAAAAATGGACCAATTATGAAGATACTTTTCATATTTATAGCTCGTGTTGCATAACATCACACTTGTACCATAAAATGCGAATACAAAACCGCTTAAATGCAGGTCTAACCAGGCAGAAACAAGCAGGTCAACCACGTCGCACGCAACCAATGGAAGAAGTCTGCAGCACGTCACAATGGTTGGTGCCTCCGAACAATACACTACATCAGCGGACCAAACCGGCCAGCCACCCCCGTGGCGGCCAGTGCCACAGGGCAGGCCGCCTGTCCACAGCAGTTAGCTGACGGCGGCGGCGGCAGGGCGTGCACACGCGGAACACCGAGGGCGGCGGGGCGCGACTCAGACCGAGCGCCGCAGGGCCGCGCCGCGCCGCGCACTCCAAACACTGCGCGCACACGTCGAAAACAAATCGCAAACCGTACACAGATCGCCGCACACGCCATCAAACAAATCGCAGCGCTCGCCGACGACACCAACGAAACATGACGCGCTGCCGCCCGGCCGCAATATCACAACGACGTTCGACCGAGGTCGCGCCGGCGCGCGGCGGCGCGGCGGCGGCGGCCGATGGGCGCGGGCGCGCCGCCGGCGGCCCGCTTTGGTTAACTGGTACTGGCCGGCGGTCTCCGACACCGCAGACGGGGCCGCCACTCGGCCGACATGTCGAGTCGAGTCGACGCGACACAGCGACCCGCCACAACTCGACTGCAGCGTCCGCGTCCGCAATTACACTGACATGATGCCATTCAATCTACCCTATATCACTAGTCTACTTTGCCTCTTTAATTCTTTGCCTGATTGAACAGTGTGTACTAGCATGCATTCGATCGAGAAGTGCTGCTCCCTCCACGTGCAGACGCATGCGTGCAATGTGCTGAATAAGGTAGAATATTATACTTAACACGTTTCCGACGAAGCATCGATAACACAGTGGAAGGGTCAGTCGCGTGACAGTCCCATGCGACCCTCAGTGGCAGGGCAGAGGGAGAGGCCACGCCTATGATAATCCGCTCCTCGACAATGTTCAAAGGGACTGCCAGCTACTTCCGCGACTATAGATACCGAGTGACTTTTCAATCGATGCTCCGTGTTTGTCCCACCTATTTGCCTGTGGAAGTGTCTCTGCCCTGCCCCGACCCCCCCCCCCCCCCCCTGATACACACATACGGGGGTCAACGCACCTCCGCTCCGGCGGCGGGTGAGGTACAATCCCCCAGAGGACCCGTTCATAGGTGGCTTGCTATCTTTGGTCGACTGACAAGTTAGAATTCAGGCGAGAAGGGCCGCGGCGTGCCCGCCATCTTCCGGCCAGCTCGTTCACCTATGCTTCTGCGCTCGACGCCTGGAGCGCGCTACAATATGAAGAGCTGGTGGTGGTTCTGCAGCAGATAGTCGGTGAACGTGTTGATCGGCCCGATGGCTGCCAGTGACATCTGCCGGTTGTGGTGCCAGATGAGGTTCGGTCCGAACACCACGGCCAGGTTTGCTGACGTCATTTTGTTCAGGTCGCTGCGGTCCATCACCTGAAACGACAGCCCCACCGCCGACGGTGAGCTGGTGAACGGCCGGATCGGAAACAGCAGCTGTTGGCATTTTCTGTACTGACACTGTATGTTTAAAACTCGCCGTGATAATTTACAGCGGATCAAACAACACGTACAGGGTACAAACCGCAACTCATGCCATACCTTTCCCAGGAAGTGGATGATGTATTTGAGAACCACGTAGTTGTCTTCCGGTAGCTTTTCGAGCACCAACGACTTGACCGCCATCCCTCTCTCTGATCTGGGCAACGCTGCAAAGGACATAGCAAACAAACTTCAACATCATTCATTGCCCTAAACAAATCGTCGGCTGCATAATGTTCACAATGGTGACTCGAGGAAGTCAACGGCACATGACAATTCGCAACTTCGCGACCAAAGGTCTCTCTGCAGCCTGTTTGCTACACATCCACTACCAAACCAAACCACATGACGGGCGCCGTCACAAGACGAGCCTGTTTCTGAACAATAGCAGCGCAACGCAATAAACGGCACAGCCGGAGACGATTTTCGCATGCATGCTGTCCGTCTAAGTTATTTCATATCGCGTACGCAGTGAACACGATACAACGCTTTCAGCGAGGCGACGCCCGCCCAGTCGAAACACCTCCGGCGCCGTGCGTCACACACAACCCTGCACCGGCCGTCCGGGACGAGGCGACCCCCGCGGCTTACCCTGCACCTGCACGATCTCGTCATGCAGGTCGAACGTCATGAGTGGCTCCTCGAGCTCGCGCAGGAACGACTTGATGAGCACGGCGGCCACGTGCGCGTCCGTCAGCTGCACCGTCTCGGCGTGGTTGAACTGTGACTGCAGCTGGTTGATGAGGCGCACGTTGGCCGAGCGTCGGAACAGGCCCTCCGTCTCCAGCAGGTCCGGCTGGCTCAGGAACTCCACGCACTGCACGGCAGCCAATGCTTGTTAGACGTCCGTTTTAAAACAACGGCAAAGTGATCACAGTATGCTGCTTGTTTGCTTCCTCTACTAGACGAATGCACAATCATTTCCATATCATATTTTGTGGAAATCTTGCTTGTCAACCTCCTACCATCTTCCACCCACAAAAAAACACGCGTGAAACCTTTCTGGGCGCCTTGCAAAACGCATTTTACACGCAGTGAGCCACAGGAGCCCGTCACAGCGTGTGAGAAGGTGAGGTAGACGGCGGCGTCACCAGGTCGGCGAAGCGTGCGTGCGGGGGACCCGACAGGCGCCTCACCTGGCGCACGACGGGGGCGATCGGGTCGCCGCCGTTGTGCTCCTTGATGAACTGCAGCGCCACACCGAACTGCTGCGTCTCCAGCGGCGTGTGGAACTGCACGCTGGGGGTGGTCGGCAGCCGCAGCGGCTTCGACACCAGCGTGCGGTCGTGCCTGGCGGCGGATAGCGCGGCGTCAGACGAGGCGGAGCCCGGACGGCGCTGCGAGGAGCGAGCGACGGCGAAACTGCGCCTGCCCACACGGCAGCCGGTGACTCAGAGCGGTGCCTCACTCAGCACCGCCAGATCAAAAGACTGCGAGGAAAACGCCACCCAGAAGTGAAAGGTAGCCCTATTTTTCTGCGACACGTTCCCTGAAGTTTGATACGAGTTGGAATCTAATTTCTCAACCCCGCCCCTTCCCACGACTGGCACGGCACAGGATAGCGACTTCCGTCCTGTTTTGCACGCTATCCACCCGTGCTGGGCTAGAGGGCAAATAACACCGGCGCCCAACGCCAACGTCCCGCGCAAAAGACTGCAAAGACCAGCAGCGCAGAGCCCAGCAGCTGATATGATGACCAAACTGCCGATCGGGCATCGCTGAAGCGCCGGCTAGACACTGCTGGCGCCAGTGCGACGGTTATCAACGACGGACCCTACTTCACGGGCGGAGGTTGTCCCCAGCGCTGCTTACAGTACCGAACGACGGGTGTAACGTCACCGGACGCCCATCAAAGCGTGACTGGGGCCAAATGAATGGCCGAGATTCGGCGGCAGCAGCGAAAACCCGTCACTCACAAACAACGCAAACATCGGTCTAAACAAAAATCAAAATGGATTTATGAATATACGTTGCTACTGCCGTTTGTCATTTGACAGAAAAGCAGCCGTCATGCACAGCACCCGTCCAGGGGGCCGGGATCCACCCCGGCCCCCTCGGGTCAGCAGCGCGCGCGGCCGACGGCTCGCGCCCACGCACACCGACGACAACCTTCACGGCTTTGGTCGGAGCAACGGGCTGAGTGCCACCAATGTCTAGACGCAAGCGCATGAACTGTAATTTTGGCAACTAAACGGTGACGTAAATCAGACGAGGAATTCCCCGCCCAAGCTAGTGGTCAAACAACGAAGCGTTTCTAGCAGCATCGTTGCTGTGTTTGCGCATGTTTGCGTCCTTCTGCTGCCTACACATGGCCACAATATACGACATACGGCTGCATAGTTCAATGTCACCCATTTTTCAGAGACACGCTGTTTGCCGAAATACGTCTGTCCGTACCCGTCGCTCATTTGATTGGAGCGTCTGTCTTCGGATCCACCCATCCGTGGGAGGGTGGATCCCAATCTCCTCAAGCGCCCACTGTTTGCCCCAGACTGCGATGGTCCGCGGCTGGTGGCCACAGCCGTGCTAAAGGTTGGTTGACGTCACAGGGCAAGATGGCCATACCAAGCATGACGGGACGTCAAACTTGTTCCACTTAAGTCTGCCGCTGACGTGGAATTTCACGAGCGGATGATGGAGTCAGTGCCCACGCAGCAAGCGCTGCTTGGCGTCGGCTCTCGTCACAGGAATCTATCCGATGAAAAGTTTCGCAGTCCCGAATAACCCCTTAAAAGATCGTGCGTGAAGAGCAGTGGTAACATGTGAGCACATGCCGTCTATATTTAACGCGCCCAAACGGACCTGTGACCACGTCGTTTTAAATATGCCAATGTTCATTCATACTTCGCTGTGTATTTGCGGAACTCTTTCCCTCCAGCCGTAGTCCATCATGCAGTGCTTAAATCTACCGCTCGAACATACTCTTGGGTAGTCGAACTTATCAAGAAGGATACAAGACAACCGATGATAGGCTTAATTGCATTATGATATTTTAGAATACTCACTCCAACTCAGTGTAGGGTATTTGATCTGATTCATAACACTCACTCCAACACGGGCTCGGGTACGGTGATCTGGGGCATAATGCTCCCTCCGACACCGGCAGGGGTACGGTGATCTGGTCCATAATACTCACTCCAACACGGGCTCGGGTACGGTGATCTGGTCCACAGTAATCCAACACGGGCTCGGTTACAGTGATCTGGTCTATAATACTCACTCCAACACGGGCTCGGGTACGGTGATCTGGTCCATAATACTCACTCCAACAAAAAGCTCGGGTACGGTGATCTGGTCCATAATAGTCACTCCAACATGGGCTCGGGTATCGTGATCTGGTCCATAATACTCACTCCAACACGGGCTCGGGCATCATGATCTGGACCATAATACTCACTCCAACACGGGCTCGGGTATCGTGATCTGGTCCATCGGGAGATGATTCCGAAGTTCGTGCAGATAATTCACGTACAAGATCTTCTTTCCAAACTTCACGCTGAAATGGGAAAACGCACGAATTAACACAGCTTGCACAAACAATTTCATCCCTCAGCCCATGCGACAGCAGTTGCTTCTTTTAGTCAGCGGATTGGACCAAACACGCTGGCAACTCTGGGCAGATACGCAAAAGCGCAAACCTCATTGGTGTCGAGATGCATGCCACAAAACACTTATTGTCTTGGCAACTGGGGATGGCAACGCCCGATGCAGCCTTCAACCACCGTCTGCGTCAGATACCGCGTCATGTCGTTTTCTGAGGAGAAAAGCTGAAGATTTTGCTCGACCTCGCTTAAGTTAAGAATATAACGTCACAAGACCTGGACATTTTCAAAACGTCCGCCCTCCACCATTTTTTAAAATGCATATTTTCTCCCTACAACGTGACACGCAATCGACTCATGTCTAGGTTATTATGACGCATGGACTGGCGTCAAAAGACACCTCCCATTCTCCGTTTCAGCTGTGGAGAGCTGATTGACCTGCTCAAGGCCGCAACAGGTGCGCGGGGCCAACGCCGAGTCCAAGCCCCGCCCACCGGCAGCAGCTATCCAGGTGAAGCCTTGAATTACCATCTATTGAAGGTATCGTTATTTCTATCTTATTTTGGCTGACATAAGTCGCGACGGATTCTCTCGTGTTGAGCTTTTTGGATTCAACGAAATCGAGTCATATTCTAAAAAATCATTCAACGATGACGTGGCAACATGACTGACGTCGACAGATCACCCACCATGATTTGTGCATTAATGCTTTAGTCTCTTAGCATTGGGTATTCCACAAATCACGTTCATCCGTCACACACCACACCATGATGCACTACTACCTCTCTTAGCATTGGGTATTCCATAAATCATGTACATCAGTCACACGCCACACCATCATGCGCTGCTACATCTGGATAGCTGTTCACACTAAATTGATCAAATTGAGTGAGGAATAAATGACTCAGATAGTGCAAGATATGGCGGTCCTCTACCAACCGACATGATTCGAACCCATGCACCTCAACATGTCACAGAAGTCTGACCTGATTGCGGGGCGGAACAAGTTGTAGACAACCCGAATGAAGTTGGTGGGGTGCACCAAGTACAGAGCTTTCAGATTTTTCTTGTACTTTCTGTCAAAAGCCCGATATGCCTGCCAGAGCCAGCTGAGGGGTGGCTTATTTTTGCTGTTCAGTCCATAGTGGAAATACACCAGGCTGTAGTCTTGCTCAACATACTGGTTCAGCGTGAACATCAGGTAGCTGAAAGCAGAAGTTGACAGGTCAGTCAGATCATCATGTGAATTGAGTCATACCCTATGTCTTACAGGAAGACACCACACAGCTGCAACACAAGAATGCACCGCACCGATCATCGCACTATCAACGCAGGACAGTTGGCCCATAGAGCGGCAATTCAGCGGGCTAACACATGTCAGCAGGACCTCCGCCACAAGGCGCGATACGCCACCTTTCCCCGGGGCAGTCGGTGCTCACCTGAGCAGCTTGGTGTGGTTCAGCACTTTGTTGCTGGGCAGCCTGCACGCCGAGACGACGATCACCTTGCGGCCGTACGTGTCATCGCCGACCACGTCCACGATGCCGTGCTGCGCCACGTCCCGGTAGTCGGCCTCGGTCGAGAGGCGCGCCTTGCGGTACAAGTCGTCGTTGAGGTCGAGGCCGAGCGAGAGTGGCCCCAGCTCGGCCTCGAAGTTCTCCTCGATGGTGCCGTCCGAGACGGTGGTGTCCAGCGCCAGTGCCAGGTCCAGCTCCGCCTCCAGCTCGGCGTCTGCCGAGAGCACGGCGCGCGTCACGCCCCACTCCGGTTCATCCCGGACCCGCCTGTGACGGTGCTCCACACTCCGACACAGACCCACCGGCCAAGATAGCAAGAGGAGAGTGTGACCCCAGACTGTCAACAAAGCCAAAGTTTGCTCCCCTCATGCTCGGTTTGGTGAAACAGGCATAGCATTTCAAACTTTCACTTGGATATGGTGGCATGTCTCCACTTGGGTGGACCCACTCCAGTGTCATATATTCCATAATGATGACAATGACAAGATAAGGCAATTCTCCACACTACTGACCTGTACCAGCATTGGTAGCACATGCCACCTCAGTGTCGTCAAACTCCAGCTGAGGCTCGTAGTCGTGGTAGTCTGACAGTGATGGGTAGGGGTCGTCACCACCTCCTGACAGCGATACTGGCCCAGAACCTGACCCTGCCAGCCCAGCCATGTCACACATGTGCAGATTCCTGGTGGCATGTACATTAATACAGAAACCATGAAACTTTTGTCACAAAACACAGCATTCAGTATCATTGCAAACTATGTTGTGACACTCCCATCATTACAAGACTTTATGCCTTAGATGTTTAGAACCATTAGCCATTAATGGACTGCCTGTGATGAATGCATATGAAGAACCATATAACAAGACCCCCAGAAATGTTTCAGTCTAACAGCAGCTAACTTTTTTGGCCCTAGCCCCAGAATACATCTGCTAACATGCTGTAACCTTGGGCCTCTGTCCATGATTTTGACATCTCAATGGAAACAATGCTAAATTTAGGCCAATTTCCTTTAAGGGTGCCCACAGCTATTTGCAAAATATACGCTGGCTATAACACATGCCATAAACTAGCCAAAATCGCTGAATGCTATTGCTGGATCCTCAGACTGTGCCAGACCTAGATCTAAGTACTCAATCAAGTGTTTCTGCAGACAAATTATTTGACAATGCTCTTATTAAGTTCAACTCCCCCCCAGCCTAAAATCCAATGTAACTAAGATGAAAGTATTTAGAAACACTAAAACTGGATGCAACAGTCTTTTTTGGTACAACTTGGTACAACCAGGCATATAAGAAATGTTCAGTGCAAAAATTCATCATAGATAATGATCTGAGCTGAGATAAAAAATCACAAAACACAGCATATAACCAGTGACTTGACATAAATGACAGAGCTCTCAGACACAAAGAAAATAAAACCAACATATTGATCTAGTGAAAATAAAGCAGAAAACAATTTTACTATGCCTTTCAATGAAAGTGCCAGATAATATAGTGAGAGAGATATGGAGCATAAACATTTAGGAGTGTGACCAGACAGGACCTATAATAACCCAATTATGTGAAAGAGCCTCCTTTTAAGTTAGGCTGGGTTCAGGTTGGTCAGATTGGTTGTACATCCCTTACAATGATGAACCAATGAAAACCTGCGGGATTCTTTCAGTCTGTTTATAGGTTGCATGACAGTAGAAATAATATCCTAATGGTTAATGATAAGCCAAGAATGTGATACAAAATGCAAAAACATGAAGCACTAATTTTGGCTAACATGCCGTCACCAATGTCACAATTCTATCCGTTATGCCACATTATAAAGCTACAACTCCCAACACATTGTGTCCATATCTCTGTCACTCCTTGCATACTGTAGACAAGTAGATTGCCTTACTTCTTTGCTTGCCAACAAAGAAATGTCTCCTATACTGTTGTTGATGCCATGACAATGTCTTAGACCATGACAATATGAGCATTGCAACCGTGACTATACCAAACCCTTTCAACATCTGGAAAGTCATGGGCTCAGATGTCATGTTGCAGACAGATCCAGACACGAAAGTAAACCATTATGGAAGACCTACATATAACGATTCACTTACCAGGTTGTGCCACTTTTGGCTTCGCCTTGGATGTCTTGGCCAGCGATTCCATCTTGAATTTGATTACTGTCAACACAAATACCTACAGCAACAGCCCTTCTCACTGTGATTCAACACCATTCCCTAAGGTGCAAGCATACCTCCTGGTGATTCGAAGCGGAAAACACCCCTCGAGTGAAAATCCTTCACACGCCAGCAATTATCTTTGTACCGCGTAGCTGACCAGTGATGCAGCAGACACAAACAACGGTGATTGGGTACGTGACGCATCCATGCGCCATTGTGGACATGGATGAACTCTGGCTCTGGCAGGAACTCTGGTCTGGCTCGAAAACGTGAATCAGCTGATAACACAAATCGACGTCATATTCGCGGAGTTCTTCCAATGATGCGGCGCTTGCTGGATATGGATCATTGACAGTTCCAGAAGAGGCGGTTTCGCCGAATCACGAAATATTCTCGAAAGTGGCCATTATGTTTTTGAGCCACCAAACCACTCCTTTTTCGTTAAATGTCGCGTATCAAATGTGATATTCGATGACACTCAAAACATCACAATTTCACCGCGTCTATGGCACAAAATGAACACTCTCAAGCTTCCCTTTTTTCATTCCTGTTGTACTGGCGGCCTAAGTACTCTGCATGTCCTGTGCCAGCATAATAATGCCAACTGCCCTCTTAACTACCCCGAGACATCGTGACCAACATTTACTTCTGCATGACACTGACACTATTCGAATCGTCATCGGCGTCAGGGGCACGGTTTTTGGAAAAATCCGGGGGTGGGCAAGCTGACTGCTGTGAAAAGGTCGGAAACCATGTTAGTTTTCAGGCAGTCCAATTTCTCCACGCATTTAGGCCACTTTCCATGCGCAGTTCGGTAGGGGAGGGGGGGGGGAGGGCTGACGACAAACTTAGGGGAGGTCTGTAGTCCACCTGCGAGCTGATTGCGAAGCGACAACGCTGCGTGGCGCAGTACATTCGCCGAGCCTATAAAATTACTCGTGTTCAAACCATCCACAATGGGGGCTGCCGCAGATGCCGGGTGCGATTCACCGCTGCAGCTCCAGTGCGTGAGTCAGTGCGCGCGCTACCAGACACGACAAGGCCTCACAATTCTGTGCCCTCCGACGGCATACCGATAGGACTATCACGTGTTGGTGATACCAGCACCCACGAGTGATGCGGCCTTAACATCCGGCGAAGGCGCAACAATGGTGGTGGCAGGGGAAGAGGAGGGGGGGGGGGGGGGGGCGTCAGGCCCCACCTCTCATGGACCCCAGCGACCGCGGAACGCCACGACCACGGCGACCGCCACCGCCCCCACCGGTGCTGTGGCTCGGCGCTCCCTCCGCCCCACCACCCCAGCCGCGGAGGCTGGGTCGCCCATGGCCGCGGGGACCACCAACGCCGCCGCCGGTGCTGTAGCTCGGCACTCCCTCCGCCCCGTCGCCTCAGCCTCGAAGGCTGGGTCGCCCATAGTCACGGGAACCACCACTACCGCCACCGGTGCTGTGGCTCTCCGCCCCGCCGCCCCAGCCTCGGAGGCTGGGTCGCTGACGTGTCGAATGACTCCGGGTCAGGCACCGCGCCCCGTGACCCCAGTGATCCAGACGGACTGCGCGCCACACTAACCAGCCGCAGTAGTAGACACATTAAAGGTTGGGACATATGAAATGCAGTACTGGCAAAGCCAACAAATGACACATGACAGCAGTGCATCAAAATGAAAATGAGAGCCACAAGCGGAGAAGCGGTGTAACACTGCGTCACACGTGTTACTTGCATTGCGCAATGTTTCACCGCTGACTTACTTCATGTTCCAGCACTATTGCGCCACGTATAAGTCATTGGGACAACCCGTTCGTAATAAACTTGCTGAAATAAGGGGAAAATGCCCCGCCCCACCCCACTACACAAGCGCACAGCTGGCAGGCGGATCCTGTTGACACGCGGCTCAACCGCACAGCCGCCACGTGGTCGGCTCGAAAATCACACGCACCATGCGAATCCTTTATGCTGACCTCACCTCCATCCGGATTGGAAAAACAACCGAGATTTTCTATAAACGTTTATATAGTTCGTACAAAACACGAAGGAAGAGCCACTGGACACATTTGACTGGGCGCAAGAATAAACACAAGTGCTGCCTCGAGCGCAGGTAAGCTGTGCAGTTAGAGCAGCAAACGCCATTAACTAATAACACATCACCGACAACAAATACGACGCCAGCGTATGACTCCAACTCCTGCGTTTGGCCCGTTCGTTGCTCTGCTAATCAACATGACTTACAGTACGAATTGCGCACACTTGCCGAGGTCAAATGTCAATAATCCAGTCACCTAAGTCGCAAAAATCCCAAACGCAACCAGACGGGTCAAAGCTGATTTGAACATACTACCCCAAACACCTCTGGTCACGCTGTCACCAGATGCTGATCTTAAGTCGCTCGCCAAACAGGACAACCAATTGCATTCTTGCATGGGAGAGCATCTCTGGCTGCATGCAAATTTTTGTGTGCCTTGTTTTGGCAAAAATGCTAAGGCATACTGTAAAAACACATCACTTTACGAAAAAGACGGGGCACTGCAGTTACAAGTCCAGGGGTTGGGCGACGATGATGATGAACTGGGAATACCCCATTCTGATTCCGTTTGGAGACCTTACAGATGTTTTCTTTCTCCCGTGTGTTACGACGCACACAGCGTTTGCATGTCTGAGTGTTACTGGTCTCACTTTTTTCATTTTGTTTGGCTTCTAGTCATAGCATATCGTGCGTAACGACATGACAAAAGGCAAATAACGAAACGTTGGCACTAAAAGAAAAAAGGCAAGTCGGGAAAGTGGCAAGCTCTGGAGGATCGACGGCTTCTGTATGCATGGGTACCTGCACTAAAGGATTGAATTATACCAAAAACTAACTGCGTCGTTTTCGCCTCGCAGTGCTCTTTACTACTACAAGTGGCCGTGCTTTGGGAGGGTTGTTATGCACTCGATTATACATGGTGGCCCACTAGGCAACTTAAAACATGCATGCGATAAAAGCAAAGTATGATATACCCATAGCATTATGGTCTGGGGCGTTCGGACGGCGAGCCCCCGGCACGTTTGGCAGAGCCCCTCTCTCCTGACGTCACAGGCCAGGCCTGAAGCTGCCACCGCCTGAGCCCGGGTCCGCCAGAGCCGCGCAGGGACGGCGCGATGGCTGGCGCGCCAGCTCGCCGTCCGGCCCGCTGGTCCCGGTCGCGCTCGCGGCCGTGCCGTGCCGCACCGCCGGCTCACTTCTTCTTCTTGCCGAGCGTGAGCGTGCCGCCGTGGGAGGCGGTCAGGTGGGCGGCCTTGCGCCGGTGGAACTCGGCCACCTCCTCCTCCAGCTGGCGGCGCTCGTCGTCCACGCGGCGCTTCTCGTCGCCGTGCTCGCGCTTCATCTTGTCGAAGCGCTGCTGCAGCTGCGCGGCCGGGCACGGGGCGCGTCAGATCACGGCGGAACAAACCGCCGCCAGTGACGTCCTCATGTTGCCATGCGCTTTACGACATTAGGTGAGGCGGGCCATTGCCCGAGAGAGACGAGACACTTCGGCGCGGTGTACTTAAACTGACCACATGTCTGATATCCTGGACCTATGATCCAACGTGTTCGTGCGCACCGTCTCCGTAAGCGCCAAGCTTTTCAAAACACAGAAAAGATACTGCGCCGGCCGGTAAATCACTTCGCATTGCTCCAATCGGTGTTAAGCCTGTCGAAAGGCCTTTTGAAAAAGTTTACGTTCCGTGCAAGTTCTCATATCGCAGCGCGGTACACATGACTGACCTGCTTTTCGGCCTCCTTCAACTCCGTCTCCTTCTCCTTGACCCGCTGGACGAACATTTGCCGCATTTGGTCCTCCTTCTGCTGCATCTCGTCCAGGTGCTCCGAGCGCTTCGTCTCGTACGTCTCCTGGAAGTTGACCGGCTTGTTGTCCGGCCCCACGTCGCTGAAGCCCATCTGTCGGAGCGCAGAAAGGCGGTCACTGACACATCACTCACACAACGGCTTGTTGACAGGACTGAAGGCCGCCGGCCCAGATCACGAGAGTCGTTCGGAAACAAGGCACCTGACAGTCACGGCCCGACGGACGTCACAGTGTGACGGCTCTGACACGGAGCGGCAGCCTTGGCCGATGCTAGAACGGCTGCTAGCTAGGTGGCCTAGTGATCAGAGCACCGGCCCCGGCGGTCCAGTAGTCTGGGCAGACGCGGGGCGGCTGCCTTAGCCGATGCGGGGACCGGCTGTTAGCTGGGTGGTCTCGTGATCAGAGCCCCGGCCTCGGCCGTCCAGCGGTCTGAGCAGACACAGCTGGTTCGAGCCCCCAGCACCGGCCGAAGCAGCCCGCCGGGACGGCGTTGCCCAGCACTGACCTTCTCCAGCCGGGCTTGGCGGTACAGCTCGTAGTGCTTGGTGTGCGTGGTGTCGCGGAGATCCTCCATGTTGGTGCGGATCAGCATCTCGCGAAGCTTCACAAAGTCGCAGTGGTTCTCGTTCTCAACTGGAAAACGGAGACAACGGCAATGAAGCCGCCACCTGATGGCGGCGTCGCGGCTTTGGGGCTTGTTCCTGACTGTGTTCCGGTCTCCCACGGTACAGACGTCGTGAGACATTTCTGTGCCTATTGCCACGAAGCTTCACTCGTCGTTAACTGTAACCTGAAAATGCATGGCAACCGCCGCCATCACCGTGCAAACAGCTAGCAAATGTAGCTAGCGGTAAATATATGCAGCCAACGCAAACGCTTCGCAACACTGGCACCTGTCACAGGCCAAGACAGTTCCTTCCCTCCCCCCCCCCCCCCCCCACAAGGTACTCCAAGTGTACCCCACACTCACCCTGCACGGTACCCCAGGGGTACTCGCGGGCGCGCACCATCTTGTTGCCGACCTTGACGAAGTCGGTGCTGCCGACGACGGCGAACGGGATGTGCGCGTTCATCGAGCGGTTGGTGTCAGCCACGGTCGAGTCGTCCATCGGGAAATGGTAGATCTGCACGCCGTTGCCGTTCAGTTCCGTCAGGATGCGTTGCTGTGGACACGGCAGCGCCAACGGCGTGAAGCAGAGAACGTGGCGACACAGCCTCGTTCAATTGCGGTAGGTTCGCCGCGGTGCTGGCCGTGCAAAGCAAAGCACGCGAACTGACGCAAGCCACCTCCTCGTCCACTGGAAGCGAGGCATCAATTCTGCATCTGCACACTCCGTGGATCAAAGTTGGCACAGATCCCTATTCCGTTGTTTACCATCGATAGACGTTTTCTTCTCATCATAATTCACAACATGTATTTCATTCCAGATGGTTGCATTGCCAGGAAAGTGTAAAACAAGTGATGACTGGAGCATTCGCGAGCGTCGACTGCTGGAAAACTCCGATAAAGTGGACATGTGTGAGAAAAAGCCCGCGATGGAAAACACGGATTCAGGTCTGATCTGATCTGTTCCGGACTGATCTGGCCTGGTATGGTTTACTCGGGGCTGGTTCGATCTAAACTGGTCTGGTCCGGTCTGGTCTAGTTCGGTCTGATCCCGCCTAATCAGACCTGATTTAGTCTGATCCAGCCAAGTCATGTCTGATTTACCCCCGGTGACCGTGCTCACAGGACGTCTGGTCTGGCCGTGTAGCCGGTCAGAACCGACCACAGCACCCGGTCAAAACCACCAGAACAGCCGGTTAGAACCAACCCCTGCGGCCGGTCAGGACCGACCATTGCGGCCGATCAGGACCGACCACAGCAGCCGGTTAGGACCGACCACCACAGATGGTCAGGACAGGCCACAACAGCCGGTCAGGGCCGACCACAGCAGGCCGACATGTGACCCGCACTGTATTCTGCGCTCCGTTGACCGCACGGTTCGACCTCCAATGTCTGCACAGGTTTCATATGCTTTGAGGTAAAAATAAGCACAGACTGTCAAGCCATGCCACTGATTACTCCTCAATGTATCTCCCGGAAAATTTGGTACACATGACAAATTTCTTGGCCTGGCAAACCTACATACACAGGCAGCATATCTTTATGACAGGTTCATTAGCACATGGTAGAACCTACCTTGAACTTGACTAGTTCGGTTTTGGAGATTGTGTCCGCCTTGGCGATGACGGGGATGATGTTGACCTTGCTTTGCAGTTTCTTCATACACACGAGATCTAGCGATTTCAGTCTGCGAAGGGACGAAGCCAGTATCAACTAGGATGCACTCATAGGTGTGATCTTCCGCGTCAGTACTCAAACGTTCTTCGTCACTAACCAAACCTTTCTACGTGCTTCACGACTGTTCATAAGACATTTTTCGCTCCCAGTAATCGTTCCGACAGCCAGCAACGGCAGACGCAGACGTCAGCCACCCCGATCCTGGCTCACCCGTGTCCCGTCGGGCAGATGAAGTAGACGCATGCGTGGATCCTGGTGTCGTGGTACGCCGACAGCGAGCGCTTGATCTTCAACTCCTCCTGCAGGTAGTTCTCGAACTGCGTGTCAATGTAATCGACGATCGCTTTGAAGCTGTCCTCCTTGTTGATCTGGTCGCCGTAGCCGACCGTGTCACACAGCGTCAGCTGCCGGGGCGCACAGGGCGTCAGCTGCCGGGTCACACAGCGTCAGCTGCCGGGTCACACAGGGCGTCAGCTGCCGTGTCACACAGCGTCAGCTGCCGTGTCACACAGCGTCAGCTGCCGGATCACACAGCGTCAGCTGCCGTGTCACACAGCGTCAGCTGCCGTGTCACACAGGGCGTCAGCTGCCGTGTCACAGGGCGTCAGCTGCCGGGTCACACAGCGTCAGCTGCCGTGTCACACAGGGCGTCAGCTGCCGTGTCACACAGGGCGTCAGCTGCCGTGTCACAGGGGGTCAGCTGCCAGGTCACACAGCGCCAGCTGCCGGGTCACACATGGTGTCAGGTACTCCCTGTCCGGGTGCTGGCGATCGGGGCTCGCCAAGCCAGCTGCAGCAGCCGGCCAGTGGCCGTCAGGCAAGCGTGAATCGGCGCAAGGCTCGCAAGCTGTGCAGTCTCGCAGCACGCGACAGTCGCCTGCCCGCAGTCTGCGGCGGCGCCCACTCCGGCCTGGCGCCGACTGCTCCGCCCGCGCCGTCCGACCCGACACCCCCCGGAACGGAGGGCTATCTGAGCTGGCCCGAGGCCCGGGCTGTCAGGGCCAGTCGAGGGGCCGCGTTGCCGTGGAGTCTGCCGCAGCGACGCGTCACACGGACGACGCGCGCGTGCATTCCGACGATTCCGCTCGGCTAAAAGGCGAGCCAACTGGCCTGGTCGCAGGCCGCAGGTCCCGCGGGAAAGCGCACAGCACAGTCAATGGAGCCACGTAGCATGGGTGATGAGGCCACCCGAGGTCCGTTTCAGTACTGAGGACGGCCAGGCAGGAGCATGGGAGCCGAAGCCCACTAGTGCATGTTTTGTACTTAAGCTTGTTCCCTTTGGACAATTCACCCCATACTGTAAATGTTCATCTGTTTCCCATGTGGAACATTGTATGAGCATAATGAACTCTTAAAAGGGTATGCTCACAACATGGGGATGCGAAAATTGCCAGGTTGTCAAAGCAAAATCATCTTAATGTCTCTAGCATTTGTCTCCTTTCAGTACACCCACACTTAAGTTTAAAGTTAAAAATCTAGGTAAAAAATGCCTAGTGATGGCACATCACTAAATGCAGAGAAATGCCTTACCTTTCTTAAACTATGCAAAACTTACCACTAACTTCACTTTTTGTGGCTTCTAGAAGCATGAAACAGAAAGCATCCATAGCAATGCTGTTCATAGGTAAAAGCATAGCATAAAAGCACGGCCATAGCAAGACACACCACAATTTATCAAACAGATTACAAAATACTAGTAAGCAAGCATTTAGCACACAGTGGTTCACTGTATTATCAACATTCTTTATGATAACATCATAGAAAAAATGTGGCAGCATGAAAAACTTCTCTTTATTACAGGCATATAACATTTAATTCATGAAACTAAAAATGAATAAGAAATATAGCTTACTGGCAAGCTATGCCATGAGTGCCCATTTGAAAATAGTTTCTCCATTAAGTTCACAGCTTTTAATTGTTAAACAACATTTAACCCATTTAAGACTCACCTTCAACTTGACATTGCTCTCCTGCAGCTCATATGTGTGCGCCTTCAGTTTCACAACAGTCAGGTTGTGTGGACTCTGAGATGACTCGAAGTTGGTGTTGAACAATGAGTCCATAAGGGTGGACTTACCCAATCCTGTCTCGCCTGTCGACAGAGCATGGAATCAACACAAAACTGGAGCACATCTCAACATCTCACCAGGCATGTCAGCATACTACAAACATAGGACCAGCAGTATCTAAAACATAACAGGACCAATTGACATTGCTAGGAGTTCTTATACATCATTTACTAGAGGTTCACTGTTAAAAATACAAGCTCTTCTTTAGTCACATGAAGCTCTGAAGACTGGATGCCAGATGGCAAGCAAACATTAAATGGCCTCATAGACTTCACAAATCTGTGCCTAGTATAAGGGACTGATGCATGAGAAGAAGAAACTATGTATAAAAAACAACATTCACTCTGAAAAACTTTTTACATGAGAGAAGCACAAGGTGTGCTGGGGCAAGGGGAGGGAGGGGGATCCCACACAGCATTCTAGTCCTGTGACCCATGAGCACATGTGTTACACAGCAAACACCTAGCTGAGCTAAGTGAACACTGAAAATGTTACAATGCATTGCAAGCAAAAAGAATGAAACACTAAGTGAAGCATGGTCCAGGCCTTGGAAGCCCCCTTTCACCAAGGTCAAATCAGCACAAAAATGGTACCACCAGTTACAAAACTGAAAAGGTATATGTTCATGACAAAGATGGGCATTACATCTCCATGTCTTTCAGCAGTGCAAAGTGTGGAAAGCCAATCACCATAAACCCTTCACACACAGCTTAACCTTGCAGGAGCAAGCAAGTGAAGACAGAAAGTAAAACACAACAAGAAATAATATTTAACCAACATTCATGTTGGTTGTCAACAGTGGCCCTATCAAGGCTGAGATTCTATCCAGCCAGACTGTATTCATAACAAGGAGAGCATATTTAACCTGAACACATACTCTAACATTGCTTGACATGCTACCATTGCCTGGTGCAAGTAGGCTAGCAGTCAGAGATAACCTTTTTTTGGCAAAGGTTTGGGAACTTGAGGCTGGCTGGTATCTGTACAAAAAATTATGCCTGGCAAGGAACCTGTCCAACTTGGCTTCAGCACAATAATGTTGTTTTTCTGAAGGGTGCATCTGATCTATTAGCTAGTAGGGTCAGCATATTTTGCAATACTCAAATTCTGGTTAAAATGCCATATCCACAGATGCATTATCACATATTTTGAGATAGGGGCAGAACTTTCATAGGACACATTTACAGAGGGGCCTCCTGGGCAAGATGTTCCTGTTTCCGAAGGTCATACTTACCTTATCTTTGTAGCTTGAAGAAATCAAGCTCATGCTGCTCAGTGTTTTTGCAGTCTAAGGAGGCAAACAATTTGTTTTAAGATGCCTATTTGTCAATATTTTGCCCATAATACCCCAGCAATACCTTGTCAGACCCTGCCACATTTGCAGATGAACAGCTGCCAGCATACATGAGCATGACCATACCTGGTTCCTTCATACACTATCAATTCACACTCAAAAAAAAATTTGCTTACCAATGCACATGATGTTGAAAGTGAAGCCATTCTGAACAGACTTTGCCACCAGCTGGTCTGGCAGAGAGTCAAACCCCACATGTCCTGACAGCTCCAGTGGCCTTGGCTGGTTTCCTCCAACTGCCTGCAACCACAAAATATTTCTCTTTACATCGACAGCAGATCACATCACGCTTCATCGAAACTGACAGAACGCCTTTATTGCGCAAACATGTAACCTGCTTGGCTGCCAACACCGTAGCCACTACATTTAAGAAATGGAAAGCATTCAAATATTCTGCAGGCTTACCCCGAAGCACAAAATACAACTCAAACAGCAAAATAGGCAACCGGCTCTCCACATTTTCCATCCTGTAAGTGTAACAAACACTTCACCGTTACAGACTTTCAAGCGGGGCGTTGCCCGTTGACCATTCGACATACACCAACCTTAGGCTTATCCAATTCGACAGGTGGCATGGTGGATGACAAAAACGTGGCCGCTGGTAGTTGCAGCGATTACTTTTCACACCTTCACACCGACGAATTACTTTCAATAAAGCTCCCACTACAGAGACGGACAACACCAGTCACCAATTTCAACGGAGCCAAAGTTAGTCAAGGTTTCTCGAAAACGAATCCGTTGAGGTCGGGGTTTTGTCCCCATTGTTCTTTCCATTCGGATCCAAATGAATTTCAATGTTTTTGCTTGCATAGGACTATGAAGCTTGCATGTAATGCTAGTTTATACAAAATATGATTTCCTTGTGTCCTGATAGTTAAAAAACACTGCATACTCAAGTGTCTTTGTTGGCCTTGATTTATCCAACGGCCCAGCAGCTCTCACGGATTGCACTAGCCAGCTGATTTGTGTTACTTCAGCTGAAGCTGCGCCAGGAAAGTCTATGGTCAACTAATGTTTTGCCGTCCTGTTTTGTTTTGTGGAGAGTGGGTGGCGAGTGGTGGGGGTTATGCACCGCTCCGTTGCAAAAGCACGCGAGGACAATGCTTGAAAGCTGCTTGCTACGCATGCGTTGAACATCTGATTGCCGAATTTATCGCGATGAGTTTGGCGGGCTGCGTGGTGATCTCCGAAGCTCTGTCCGGTGTCACTTTTGGTGGCAGTGCGTGGTCGTGCCCAGAGGATTGATATTTTTCAAAGGTAGGCACGGCTAGGGCTATATGGAAGAGTCGTCAATGACACAGCCTGAAAATTCATGCTTTTTTACAGACAGAGGGCATGCCAGGACCATGCCTGAAACAACTATTACACTCATTTTGGCACGATTATGATGGGTAGGTAGTGGGCATGGGTCACATACTTGGTACAGTTGAGGAGGAAGCCTGCATTGTTTTGCCATCTGATATGCAGGTTCCAGGTATGCCAGCTGTTTAGATGGGAGAAAGAGTGGTAATTTAGCATATAGTTGCTGAATATCATTGCTGTTATTGTGGCATTTGGAGCTTTTAAGAAGCTATTTAAAGTCAATAAGTGATTGTTTTTTTATTGCAGAACATTCACTGAAATACCTGCAATGCCTACTGGAGATATCCCTCAGATCATGGTCTTCAGGCCATCATATGAAGAATTCAAGGATTTCTCAAAGTACATTGAGTACATTGAGTCTCAAGGTGCCCACAGGGCAGGCCTAGCAAAGGTAAGCCCACACCATTAAGCAAACCTTTGCCTCTGCTTCATATTTCATGGGTGTCTGCATATAAATTCATAACTTGTGTTTGAACAAGCTGGTTGTGTATGCCAGGTGACATCACATCTAGCCCTTAATCCTGTATTCTCACAATACCTTAATGTCACTGTTCCTGGTATGCCAAGTATGCCAGCCTGGACCTGGCATAGCATCATCATAGGTTAACAGGCTCAACCCAACTACATGCAGACTCCAATGTTGTGCTGAATATGTATGTCAAACCCACATGGCAGAGAACCCATACTGTTCATACTTACACATAACTACATTCATACTGTGCTAGTATGCAGTATTCAAACACATTTTTGTAGAGGCATCTGTTTATCTGTATCAGTTTTTCAGCATTGCATTCTGATATTCCAGTTTGTTATGATCTTAACAATGATCAATCTGGGCTGCAAGTTTCAATTTCCTGGCTGATAAGTCCACAGGGCCATGTGCTGTTGTAAGAAGAATGTGAAAGTGCCCACAATACATCTGGGCATGTTAACCATTTCTTTCAAAATTGTTTTGAATATGTGAAGTAGTAGTACTGGATATGTCAATACATCTGAAGAAGTGCAATTTTTGCTATTTGTGCTTGATTTTGGTGCAATCAGCAGTATTCAGCACCAAATCTTAAGCTCCTGCTCATAGAGGTTGTTTCCTGCAAACACTCAAACTGGACCCACACATGTCTATTAGATGCCAAGTGACCTATGCATTCAGCTGTTTTTAAACAGTTTTTTTCCAACTTGGTTTGGTAGCTTGATCACCCCAAAGGACATCATGTTTGAGGTTCTGGTTATCTGTTATGGCACTAATGATGCAAGGTGTCATGTTCTTTCACCTGGTGTGGGACATTAAGATACCCGATTTACTTTGCTCAACATTGTTGTTTGTTTTCATCATTATTGCCCAGATGTAAGATCATAATATTTCATTGGTGTAAGAAGCATTATATAAAATGCCAGATCAGAGAGTGAAAGGTCAAAAAGTGGTCAGTTCAGATGTGATCAATCAAAGTGTCATTTATTCAGATCAAGTCAGTGTTTAATCAGGTCAGTATTTTATCAGTTGAAATGGGTCTCCCCTCATCATGTTACCATCTTTGTGCATAAGGCTGTTTTGTCTGATTCCACCCAACCCAGCCAAAGAGCCAAGAAACTTCAACTTGGGTCAAGGCCTGCTGTTTGAATATCATTTCTTTAGTACACCATATGTGGAATCGGCTGCGCTTCATACCGACACCGAACTGAAGTCCAAAGACTTCACGGAATGCACCATTTGCGGCCGTGGGGCCCGGAGCGTGACGTGCAGGACTGCGCTGGCAACGCAGTGGCGAGATGCGAGGTGCACAGGCGGGGAAATCCCGCCGCGGCAACATGCTGAACTGCCAAACGCCTGGCCCACATTCAAGAGGCCTCCCAGCAAGTGTTTGCCGTTGTATTATTCGCGAGGGTGAGGAAAAACTAAGCGTCAGGTGTACGAACAGTTGCAGTTAATATCGCTGGCTGAGCGAGGCTTGGGAGTACTCGCCTACATGGTGTCCCACACAGAGAGCACAGAAGGATAAATGGCATGCGTCGTCCAACTGTTTTTCCCTGTCGAAATTCACGGACCTCTAGTAATATTGTGGCTACACTTTTTTACTTCATGCTGTCGTGTTCCAGATTATTCCACCGAAGGAGTGGATACCACGGAAGGGCGGCTTCGACATGAATGACATTGGCGACATGGTCATAAACGATCCAATATGCCAGGTGAGCTCCCAGGGACGTCAGGACATCATTGCCCACGTCGTGCGCATGACGACTGATCCCGCTAAGCGTGTTAGTTGCCATTTTCCCGTCGGCGCCAGCAGAGTTTGGTTGGCGGTGCACGCCGTGCGTCCCGGGCGCGGCCGGGCGGCGGCCGACCCTGGCCCCGCGCCCGTGGTGTCCCCCGCCCCCACCCCACGACTGACCGGCGTCCGTGATGCGGCCAGGTGGTGACTGGCCGGCTCGGCGCCTACACCCAGGTCAACGTGCTGAAGAATCGGCTGACGGTGCGCGAGTACCGCGAGCTGGCCGACAGCCGCGGCTACCGGCCGCCGCCGCACGCCGACTTTGACGACCTGGAGCGACGCTACTGGAAGAACGTCACCTACGTGTCGCCCATCTACGGCGCCGACGTGTCCGGCTCGCTCACCGACGCCGACTGCGACGTGCGTGGTCCCGGCCCCCTGCCCGCAGTGGTAGGGCTGTGACGTCACCATGTACAGTCCCTGATGCTGTGGCGCAGCTGCCAGTCTGTGGCTTCACTGGTATCTGAGAGTCTTCCAGTGGGTCGGTGAAGGAGCCTGCCTCGGTCTGGGAAATTCATGAAAACGATTTTTCTGTCGGTATTATGAGGTTTTATTCTCAGCGAAAGAACTGATATTACCGGAGACCGAGGGCCTTAGGCTCTTCTTGCCTTTATAATACAAATTTCGTAGTGCGTTCCGCTCGCACGCTTTTTGCCGAGCGCATCCCAATACTGACTAAAATGGTCGGGTAAATGCGGTAGATTTTTCCGGTCGGGTAAATGCGGTAGATTTTTCCGGTCTCGAACCCTGTCGTGCCAGGGTTCGAGTGTCATGATGACGTCACAAACCGTGGTGCGTCGTAGTTATCGCCTGGAGGTACCACGCGTGTGCCCGCGTGTTGTCTTCGGAAATCCCGCGGGCTCACTTGCAGGGGAGATGTGCGAGTTCGCGTGTTGGTCTGAAAGATGTGCCCCGCACTGGCTGGAGTGGGTGGGGTGCGTTTTCTAGTGAAGTTTTTGAGAATGTTTGATGTGGGTTAGGCGTCAGTGGTCTTGCGACACACACTTAATGCTCCCTGTAAACTTTTCTGGGGCGTGTTTTGACGCAATTTTAGAGCAGGCCAATCGTCGACTTGCATTTTCTATGCGAAGTGAAGTTGCTTGTCGTTTGCATCTTGGATGGGCAATTTTTCGTTTTTGTTTTTGTTGGGCAGTTACAGATTAATTTGACCAGGACAAGGCTTTTGGTCCTGGCTGTTTTGGTTATATTTTCGAAGTCGTCTAATACTTTTCTGAAGTATAGCATCCGTTGAATTACAATTTGCTTACAGTCATGATTATACAGTGGTAGCCCTATGGAACATATTTTTGATTGGGTAAGCTGTTGCCTATAAGTAGAACATGTTTTAATTGTGTACTGCAGTAAACTGACCTCATTATGTTACCACAGGTTTGGAACATCAACCATCTGGGAACGATTTTGGACTTCGTCAACAAGGACTACGGCCGCAGCATTGCGGGCGTGAACACCGCTTACCTGTACTTCGGCATGTGGAAGACGACCTTTCCCTGGCACACAGAGGACATGGACCTGTACAGCATCAACTATTTGCACTACGGAGCGCCGAAGTCTTGGTGAGATATTGGGCGTTGCAGTGGGCTCTTTTTCAGATGGTGCGAGTCATTGCCGTTGACAGCGGGCTTGCAGTCTGGCCGTGCATGTTGCGTAGACAGACCTCATGGCCATGACCCTGTTGTGTCCCAATGCCTGACTGTGACCTTGTCCACACACGCTCTAAGCCTGTATCGCGCGACGTCTCGTGGCCATCACCGGTGTGTGCGCACACCGACTGAGTATGGCCTTTCCCCGGGAATGTCACCTTACCCCAGCCGTGGCTTACCCTTCTGACGCCGCCCTCTCCCGGATCAGGATTCCGGCGTCCCTTGCCCTGACCATGGCCTGTCCCACTGGCTGTGGTCTTTCCTGGGGCACGATCTCCGTCTCCACACCTTACATCATAATCCCATCATGGCAGCGACTTGTCCCCGGCCGCGACGTTTCTTCCTGGTGGTGGACTTTCCATGACCGTGGTCCCCCTGCCCCCGACCCTCTCCCTGACTGTGGCATTTCCTTGATGCAGATACCTGT